ATATATGGCCCTCAATAATATCATGATGAGGATGAGCAGGTAAGGGCCCCTTGTTGTGGCACTGAAACCTGAGGCATTTGTCTGGTTTAGTTTTGTTGGTATCCAAAGAATTGGCATCTGTGTAAGAAACGACACTGAAACCGAAAAATCACATAAAGTAGAATCCAGGATCCCGTGGCACGTTATCATCGCCCTTCAGACAACCCTTAGCCCACTTTTAAGGCATGGAGAAGAATTTGTTTGTTTCTTTCACCCTTCATGGAACTTTCATTTTTGTTTTCTTGGGATTTTTTTGCGAAGGAAACAAAGAGAAATCAGAAAAGAGAAAGAGAGGTGAGGCTGGACAAGTTGTTTGGTGGGTAATGTCAGGTTCTGAAAAGCAAACGTGCCTTGGGTAATTATGACGACACAGAGGAAAAAAGTTACCCAAAAGGATAAAAAAGGTAAAGAAAATGGAGGAGAAAAAAAACCAAAGCAATATCAAGTAAGACAAAATTGTCAGGGACTTCAGTCCCCAGAAATTTCAACAATTATACCTATATTCAGGGCTTGATTTAATAGTAGCATTACCAAAACACACACCTGTTCCTCACTCCCAACCCTGTACACTTCTTGTTTCATCGTGGCAATTAAAATTTATAACCCTTTCCTGGGTGCTCTGGCTGATTATCCTTTTTAAAATTTTCACTTTACCCTCTACTCCATGGCTTGAACTTTCAGGCTCAACTGTCAACTTGTTGCAAGAGAACAAACATTTTTTTTTTGGCCTATCTATGTACAATTAAGGGAAAGGGAAGAGAGACAAGAGAGGACGGGACCATTTTTTTTTTAACAGTAGATTGTACAAAATGAAGATAAATGGATGTTGCTGTTGCTCCACATGAAATCAAAAAAAATTTAAAGAGTAATTGGCTTTACAATCGAACACATCTTCACCTCACAGCTGCCTCCCCAAGAGTCAAAAAATTCCTCCTATGGTTTCCTCCCCAAAGTTGCTTAGTCCTCCTCCAAAGTATAGATGCATCATTCCTTACCTAACTATTCTTACTCAAAGTCATATCATATAGAAAACATGGCCTTTGTTTCTCGGATTCATTATTCCATTGACGCACACCAATCCTGGAATTTTGATTGACATTATAGAGAGGGTAGTTGAACCAAACAATTTGCCTGGTTTTGCATGTTCTTTTTTTCTTTCCCCTAAAGTTACAGAAAAAATTTTGGATTGGGAATGTACTATATTTGTACGAATCAAGCCGTATAACCCAAGGAAAATGGCAAAAAAAAAAACCAAAAAAAATGTTTATTATGGCTGAAAGAGCACTCAAAACATATATTTCATTTATTATGGCTACCCGTATAATTGTAATTATTTTCCTTTTTTTGGTTTCCTTGTCGCTATGCAGTTGTCTTTACCCTGAGAGAAATATGCTGAGATGAATGACATAACGAAACAATTTAAAATTCTCAAGACAAAATCTTAAGAAGGGTGGTCAGTACGGCGATCGTTAGGTCAATTTATGTCTCGAGAAGTCCATGGACCATTTGACCCCACCGTGATTCACTTTATGAATCAGTCATAAGAAGCTAGCAATATAATCAGAAAGCTTGCAGTTTATATCTTCGATCTTAAGATCGATGCAAAGGCAAAACTTTGTTGAGCTGTATTAAAGATTGAATGTACACTTGGAAGCTTCAAATTCATAGTAGTAAATATTTGGTTTGTACAATTTCTTTAAACAATGTAAATCCTGCCATTGTTTGCTAACAAATTGAAAGCTTGAAGCCAGAAATTATTACTTTGTTTTTCCAAGTGTCAGGAATAGAAGCTGAAGCAGCTACCAGATACGGAAAGCCTGGTTTTCGCTTGTTTTTCTTCTTTGTTTTTTCAGAAAAGCTGAAAGGAAAAAAAAAGAATAGTAAATGGTGCTGGTAAGGGGTCTATGTTGCTGAAGGCATTATTAATGAAAGACATTTACCCAATAATAATTGAGGGCAACAAGTCAAATGTGTTAGTCCTTTCATTTGATTGATGATATAGAAAAGAATTAACTCTAGAATGCAAAATTAGATGGTTAAAATTCCTTGAAGGGTATCAAAGTATCCCTTGACATCACCAGCAGCTCAGCATGACCAAAAAAATTAAAACTACATAAAAAAAAAATGAAAGATTGTGGTTGCATGTCCTGGATTTGAATCTAGATATATTAGATGCAAAAGTTGATTGTACGAAATAATTAAGTTCTTGATTAAGGAATGAAAGAGTTTTACTTGATAAGAAATACCTGAATTAGATGTTCTTAATCATTTGCTTAATTGAATGCCGTTTTCCTTTTCATGGAAAATCCTTCAAAATTGAGCAAAAGTGTTACTTTACAATAATTATGGCGCCAATCAGGGCCAGATAGTAAGGTTTCCTGCATAAATCTTTTCTTCCATATCCGTCCAACCAAGATAAATCAAGATAATAGATTATCACAGCTAAGTATATGATTTTATTATGGGTATGATAAGACCTTAAATGGGAAATTATATGAAACTGTTTGACTAGATATTACAACAAGTATGATCACATTACATTGATGATAGAATGAAATCAAATCCGGATTCATATACATAAATGTGTTCTTTTTTTTTTTTAATTTTTGTAATCAAATCTGTTGTCTGCATTTTGTTTGTTCGGATTTTTCATCATAATTACCTGGTAAATTAGGTGATAAATGAATTCACTTGACGTTGGTACTGCAAAAAAAGTGAACGTGAAAAAGATTCAGTTGGTGATGTAGAACTTTCAAGGGAGGAATCCCACAAAAAAAAAAAAAAATACAGCTTTCATTCCAAGCATTCTGCAAATACTTCATGCAACTTCAAACAAGTAAAACGTGCACTGATCCCTTCTTGAACGAGTAGTTAAGTTTGTCAGCTATCAACTTTGATGGCAACCAAACAAAATGTATTGGGGGTTATAGTGTTAATCAAGTTGAGTTTCAAAGAAAATTCCTTTCTTGGAGTCTGGCCAAACCAGGCTATCTGTTTTGCTTTACTCATTGGTGAAAACCAGTAGTTTTCTACTTGGTGAAACAGTATTTATGTGTAATAAATATAGAACAAACTTAGATAATTTTAAACACAATAGATAACTTTAAACACAACATAATCATGTAATGCGAAAAAATAAAGTTTAAAAATTTAGTAAAAAATGTATATGAATTTGACAAAATTTATAACATGTTGACTCAAATTTTTTATTTTTTACATGTATATGATATAAAAAAGATATAACATGAATATACAAATTATCATTTCTAATAAATAATGTAAAACAGTACGGAAATGAGTATGCAAAATAAAAAGGGTAAATCTCATTCCCAATAAGAGAACAAGCGATTGGGTCGGACCCAAATTTAAAGTGGACAGGATAAATCCAGCAAAATAGGTCAAACCCAAGGGATTGGGTCAGACCCAAATTTAAACTTTAGAGTTGTTGATATGAATCCAGCCCCAATCCTCCATTTAGGGATCCATGAGCAAAACCGTTGTGGTTTTTCCCTTTTGATGCTTTGGGCTTAGCTAGATCTGCCCAAACCAAGACCATAATTAAGCAAAAGAAAAATGAAAAACAGAGAAAGAAGAATATTTTTAGTGTAACTTTTAATAAAATAAATGAAACATAAAACCTTGACTATAGTATTTGTTGGTATATTGCAGTAAGGCCTTGCTATATTTCCTTTTCTTTTTTTTTTTCTTCTCATGCAATTTATAAAATACTTTTGAACTTTTTAAATGATAAAAATTGTCTTAATTTAAAAAAAAAAATGAATGCAAATGTGTAATAATTTCAAATTTTAGAAATAACTTATATATACATAATTATGTACTTTTATTTAGAATGTTTTGTTACAAATTTTATGCTATTTAATCCACTTTTGAATTTTTTTTATTACTAAAAAATGAAAAATTATTTAATATGCTATCAATTGAGTTTTTCAACTATATAAATAAGATTAATAGGATGACACATGTCTTTTTTTTTCTTAAATTAACTTTTTTATTTTTTAAAATACATGCTAAAAAATATGTCAACCCATTAATTTCATTTGTAAAATCTAAAAATTTAACTATCAAAATATTTTATATTTTTTCTTAAAAAATACACCATAACTTCTTACATAGGTAATGTGATAAATGAAATTAATTTCTTTGTCTATGATGGAGTCTTATACTACCATCACATTAAATCAACTAAAATTGACATTTAGCATAATATTCATAATAAAAGTTGAAATTTAATTAATTTTTTACGACTAATATTTTGAGATTTTTTTATCATCAAAATAAAATAAGATGATTGATTCTTTTCAAAATATTATCTTATATAGGACTCAATTTGATTTATCATGAATTGGTAATACTTAGAAAAAAAATTGATCCTTTCTCAACCAAGCATAGTTGAATATTTGGCAAAAGAAAAAAGAAACCATATGAAAAGAAATGTCACATTGACTAGTGTTGTTCATTGACATAAAATCACATACTTGTCCACATATATAAAGGACGAAAAACAAAAATAAATAAATAAAGAAAAAGAGACAACAAAAAAATTTTTGGGCCAAAAAGAAGTAAAGTAGTTAAGACATTTTTTTTTAATGTAGAAATTAAAGCACAAAGAATAGAATAAAAAAAAGAATAGAAAAGAATAAAAAAGAAAAGGAAAAGGATAAGAAGAAATCTTTTTGTTGTCATCCTACTCCATCCAATAAAATTTTGCATGTAAACAAATTTAATAATTTTAAATATAATATAAAAATATTTGATAAAAATAAAAAATATATTTATATTTAAGTGTTTAAATGAATTATAATACTTAATATTTTATATTTTTATATAAGAATTGGTATATTATAAAAATATAATATTTTTTCTTGGATTTTTTTATTAATTTTTATTAAGTTTTTTATATAATAATTTTTTAAGAAAAGTGGAAGTCCGATGTCTAAACTCCCCATTGATAGATACACATATTTAGGTCTTTCTCATTCTCTCTCTCTTTATTTTTTTGGGGCTTTTTTTTTTCTCTCTCTCCTCTCTCTTTCTCTTTCATAGGTTTTTTTTCCCTCTTTCTCTCTCCTCCGTCTTTTCTCTCAGGTTTCTCTCTCCTCTCTCTTTCTCTGTCCAGAAAGGGCAAAACCCTAAAGAACCGTTTACACCCCAAGTAAGATTTCTCTCTCCTCTCACTTCCATTTCTCTTTTTTTTTTTCTCCTTCTTTCTCTCTCTTTGCTTTCTCTTTCTTGCAATTTTGAATATATGGGTCCTTTTTCCTTTGTTGTACTATTGAACCTTTTGTGTGTGTATATATATATATATATATATATATTTGTGTATTTATTTGTTTGTTTGAGCTTTGGGGGTGTAATTGTGAAGGAGATCTAGGATTTTATTAAGTTTTCAATTTGAGAGCCCCAAAACAGAAATAAAAGCCCCAACTTTTTATTCAAAGCTTTTGTGTTTTTGGGTTTTTTTAGCTATATTTAGCAGATCTGATGATGGGTTTTGATGCATGCAAAGTTTGGATCTTGGGAAAATGTTGGGAATTAGAACTTAGTTTGAATCTGAAAGTTTCCATTTTTCTGTTGGGTATCTTTAGATTTCCATTTTTGCTGCTTTGGAATCTTAGATTTTTCCATTTCTGTTATATATTTTTTTATTTACTGTGGATTGAGATCTTTGGTTTCCAAAACTTGGATCTGCGAAAATGTGAAGTCTGCCTTTTGAAATTTGGCTCATTGGCGGTGGGTTTTTCGTTTAGAGTTGGAAATATAACATATTTTATTTCCCTTTGTGTTCTCGGGAATCAAATAGATAATTAGGCATCTTTGAATTTTGAATGTTGTTTTGTCTGATCTTTTATTTGGCTTTCTATGTAACTGGATCCCGCTTTGCTCTTCCTTCATGTAAATGCGTTATATTTTTATTTGAAGCCTTAGTTTTGTTTGATTGTTTCTGTTTTCGGTTTTATTTCCATTTTCATGGTATTTGTGGCTCATTCAAGGAATGTTAAGCAGGATTTGAATGACATTGATGGAATGATTTGAATCATGGTAAAAGTTTAATCATTCTATTGTGTTGTTGACTATATGTAGCTTCATGGATGACGATGCATTGAATATGCGAAATTGGGGTTACTATGAGCCGTCCTTTAAAGGACATCTTGGTCTGCAGCTCATGTCTAGCATAGCTGAGCGGGACACAAAGTCTTTTATTCCTGGGCGTGATCCCAATCTCATGGTTACTCCCAATGCTGCATTTCACCCACGGGACTGTGTTGTTTCAGAGGCACCTATTCCCATGAATTATGTTAGGGATAGTTGGATTAGCCAGAGAGAAAAGTTTTTCAACATGTTACCAGGCACCGCCCCTAATTATGGCATTCTTCCGGAAGCTTCGGCACCTCATTCATTGCCAATCTTGCAGCCACCACCTGATTCTTCATCAAGAGATGAGAGGCTGGTGGGTAGGGTTGAAGAGCCACCACCTAATAAGGAAGTTGTTCAACAGAAGAAAAGGCAGGGTGGGGCTGCCACAAAGACGCCAAAGGCCAAAAAGCCTAGGAAGCCAAAGGATAATACAAATTCTACCGTTCAACGTGTGAAGCCAGCAAAGAAGAGTATGGACATTAAAATAAATGGGTATGACATGGATATTTCTGGCATTCCAATTCCAGTTTGCTCATGCACGGGAGCCCCTCAGCAATGTTATCGATGGGGCTGTGGTGGTTGGCAGTCTGCTTGTTGCACCACAAATGTATCCATGTATCCTTTGCCAATGAGCACCAAAAGGCGTGGTGCGAGGATAGCTGGGCGGAAAATGAGTCAGGGTGCATTCAAGAAGGTCCTGGAAAAACTTGCAGCTGAAAATTATAACTTCAGTAACCCAATTGATTTGAGGACTCATTGGGCTAGACATGGTACCAACAAGTTTGTCACTATCAGGTAGATTTAATTTGGTGGTAATGATAGTGCCATAGCGGGACTCCATCACTTAAGGTCTGCTTCACCTGTATATATTTCTGTGGCCTTCTGTGGGGATCTTTGATGCCTTGTAGTTCATGAATTTTCACAGTCATGATAATGTTTTAAAATTTGAACGCCGTGGTCTTTCTATCTTTTTAGTTTTTCATTTATGCTTGTGCGTTAAGAACATCTGTTTATTCTAGTTACCGATCTTAAGTTGTGGATGAGTTTTTATTTGTTGGATCCTGTTGGATAATCTCCTTTCATCCACTTGACAAGTGTTATTAAAGACTGGCAGCTGAATGCTGCTTTCCTGGCTATCTTTTAACTGACATCAATGACATTTTATTTATTCAATTTGTTATTTTAAACTTCTGGATGATTATTAAGTAGTAAATATGATCATATCTTCTGTTTTCTTTGCCTAATTGCATAAATGAATCTGTTTTTATTAAATCCTTTCATTTTTTTTTTGGAGAATATGGTGGGGGTGGGGATTGGGTTTAATAATTTCCTTAGAGAACAAAGTCTGAGGTCTAAAATTCATAGTCTTGTCCCCTTTTACTGAACATAAATCGATGCAAGTGCTGCATTTTGATGATACTCATGTTATGTCAAAGATGAAAGTTTGTTAAAACTTAGAAGTTGATTACATCTATGCTGATTCATGTTCGCTAATCTTTATTGCGTAGATTTTATAATAATTACTTTCTAGTTTTGCATTCATTAAGTTATACTAGAGTACCAAATAGCTATAAAATAGCTATACCATGGATTAGATCGATCAAACTTCTCTTTTGCAACTCTTCCAAACGCTCCTTGGGAAAGAGAGGCATACTGTTGCAATACCTAAGAAAATGTTGGCTGAGATCAAGAACTAATCTTCTCCTTTCTTAAGCAACTGAAAGTTAAAACTTGTAAGCTGTTCTTTACAATGTTTAACATATTTTATTGGACCATTCTGTTCGCTACGATTTGTGTAAACTTTGTTTCCAAATTATCTTATTATTTTTTAATAGCTTTGTATAGATTTGTGTAAAATGTCTCCAAACTTTGTGTAAACTAACATTGTCCTAAAGATCTATATGACACATTGCTATTCTTTTAGTTATTGTTGTATGGGTTTTGCTTAGTAATGTGTGCAATTTGCTGATCAAGGTGGTTTGTTGTCATATGAGTGCTGTGTTAAGGATAGATTTTGTTTGTTCTTTTGTTCAGTGTTGTTTTATTTATTATAAAATCCATTAGCATATGGTTAGCACTGTAAAGGAAAGATTTCATATTTTATCTGTTTGCTTCTTTCCTCCCATCCCTGCTAAAGTTTGGCTTTTATAGTTGATGGTAGGTTGTACTACAGACTCTGGTTCAAATACTTTGAAGGCTAGTTACTTCTTATCGTTGTCTTTAGTATTATTGTTTTTAATTATTTGTATAGATGAGGGCAAGTTTTTTCTTGCCTGATATTTGAATCATCCATTTATTTTATAGGTTTCGCGGTATAGGTTGCTATATCATTGTATGTGCCTGCATGCAGGCAGGGTATATGTGGCTGCGTGCGTTTTAGGCAAGTTAATAAGATTAAAATGTTAGCAGAATCTTCCTAACAGTCGTTTGCTGATACTGAATTTCATTATTTAAGGTTGTGAATAACATATACATATATAGTGCAGGTGAAAGCTTAAAATGGTGAACTTATACAAATAGAAAACTAGCTCACACTGTTGAATTTTCTTTTGAATATCAGAGCATGAAAAGGAATGTGCAAGCAGATGTGATGGGCAATTACCCTAGAAAAATGTTTGATATTACTATGTGCTTCTCTCCATTGACTTAGGTATTAGCATCTCTTTTGGAGAATCCGACTCAGGCTCTGTCACACAGATATTAAGGGAAAAGGAGACTGGCTTGGGAGGCATTTCCAGATCATCAATGTTCCCTTGTAACATTTGCACGACTCTGGTCATGGAGGGGCGATCTGATGCCTGAGTTTGAGTGCACCATAACCCAATTATGAACAACTTTCTGGCTATGATGGCATCACTTTTTGTTATATTCTCAAGCTCCAAATCTCCCCTCTCATTCAGTTCATAGACCCAAGAAGGGAAATGCACTTTGCTTGAATTGATTGCATCTACATCGACATTCCTTCTTCCACTTGCCAATTCTAGCAGTACCATTCCGAAACTATAAACATCTGATTTGCAAGACACATCTCCAAAATTCCTTGAAATCAATTCTGGTGCCATGTATCCGATTGTTTCACTCGTGGCATACAATGACATGAAATCATGCTTCTTTGGGAACAATTTTGCGAGGCAGAAATCTGAAATTTTGGGGATGAAATTCTCATCTAACAGTATATTTTGAGGTTTAATGTCTAGATGAATAACGCTGCATCCATCAGACCCTCCATGTAGGAACTCAAGACCTTGCGCTGTTCCTAAAGCAATTTCATGAAGTTTCTCCCAACTAAACGAATGGGAGTTTCCATAAAGAGATCCATTAGGCATATATTGGTAGACAAGAGCATGTTTAGATCTCTCAGAAAAGAATCCTAGAATTGGTACCACATTGGGATGGTGAATCCTACTAATTCTAGAAACTTCATTGATGAAAATTTCTTCTTTGACTTTGAAGCTCCCTAGCATTTTAGCAGCAATTGAGCAACCACCAGGAAGTTGCCCCTTATAAACCGTCCCAAAGCAACCTTGCCCTATTTTGTCTTTGAAGTTGTTTGACATGGCAAGTATATCAGGATAATTGTACCTTTCTGGAGTCCATGGCTGCTGAGTCTGTGAAGATTCTTCCCTGACATCGATCTTCTTTCTCGTGGAGAAGTACTTGTGGAGAATGAAAGCAAATACAACCAGTGGAAGGAGAATGAATCTCACAAAACCAATTATTGCTACAAAGCAAAAACATATATATTATCAGAGTTATAGTTCAAGAAAATGAAGAAGCAAAGAGAAAAAGCTGAAATTTCAACGAGGAAATAGAAATATACCAGTCAGCCACACTGCAGCAAAAACGGTGTAAATCAATCGAAAATCAGCATAATAATCTGCATAAATAAGCAATATGAGGATTCAAACGATAAGCATCAGAGTAAATTTTCAACAATACGGTTATACGAACCATATTCCTCTTCACATTTAAAGAGAAAAGTTGTATCTCTAGATTTATAGACGCAGCCACGATCCATTGCCCTGCAATCTCTGCACTCAACCGACCATGTCATCTGAAACCCTGACTCCTGCATCTTCAACACTGTCTCATAAGGAGGGTACTGCTGCACAGTTTCTTCATAGAATACAGGGGCAGTTGCAATGACCTTGCATGACTTTGGAATATCATACGAGGATAAAGAACTGTACCCAGTTATATTGACATAAACATGGGATATATTTCCACTCAAACAAGGTACTCTACTATAACCTAGATCACTGATATTGTTGAAACACCGAACATAATTTAAAGCATACGAGTAATTGAAATTAACCAGCCCTGGATACCGAGCATCCAACTGCACTTCCTTCATTGACAATGATCTGTATGGAAGACTGCACCTTCCATTGGCCAGGTTAACATCAGCAACATGAACTGTGTGGTCGTCGTAGGAAATTCTCTTCACGTAGTATAATCCTCCATGGAAATTCATGATGGTTTTATTGTTCTCGCAAGATAATTCGAAATCAGGATCACCGCAGGCAGCAGGATCTTCCTTTAGACGGAAAGGGTAGCTGATATTGGGTAGATCTCCGCACGAAGATGAACATATTCGTGGATTTTTTCTTGCCAAGGTTTCATTAATGAATAGAAAGATAAGAAAATAAAACAGGGCTGACAATTTTTTCATTCTCAAATCCTCTACTGGGTAGCGATTGCCCAAGTTTTAAGGAATTTCTTGAAGTTTATAGAACACAAAAGTTTCTAGCTGGGAACTTTCAGTTTGGGTCAAGAAGACGCGTTGCCTTCACTAGATATTTCTTGTCTCACTAACCAATCGCCATCGACGAGGTAAGACCAGGCTGAGGTCAAAAGTGTGTGGATTGTGGAAAATTGATACTTGATGCTTGAAATTTTTGGAGTCAATTTGAAGTGATCCTCACTCCATAATTCTCATTAAACCATGGTCAATTATGAGATTTTTTATCATTCTCTCCTCTCATCATGGCAATAATGGTGCCACTAGAAATGAATTTAACATTATCTTAATACAAATTTTTAAGAGAACTTTTGCTAAAGTTCAATTTGGGTTATTGCTACTCTAAATGGACATTCCTTTTCTTTATAAAAAAGAGGAACGAACAGTGCTCTTCCTACATATTATGAATTTATTGTAACTTTAAAAAAATTATTATCTTATGAGACCACGATAAAATTTAAAAGGATTACAAATAGATTTATACTGTTCATTTAATTATTATTATTTGTTATCATATGTATAGCACACAAATATTTTTTATTTAATTTTAAATAATAATTTTAAAGGTTTTTTTAATACAAACGAAGATACAATCTCAAAAAAAAAAAAAAGGGATTATCGATGTTAGAATTTAAATTTCAAATTCATTGAATATTACATTTTAAAATAATTGCATGAATCTATGTTCACTCCTGTTTTCTTACGTCCAAAATCAACCATTACTCTCATGATATGCATTTATACAACTTAATTAATTAAAAACAGACAAATAAATATATACATAAAGATGGATATCCCTTCATTACCATACATAGAAAAGTTCATATCATGATGCAATTGAAAAATAGAGGAAGAGGACAGAAAAATGGCTGTAGATTCATAAACTAAGATCTTGTGACTTTTTTTTTTTTTTGTTTGTTTTTATATATGTAATCGAAAAGGAGTTGTCAGGAATTGGTTGAAGGTACTTGAGAGCAAAAGTAGACACCACATTATAGTTGTTCCAACTGCTAGAAACTAATTAAATCTGGAATTTCATAATGATTATTATACACTGGCACATGATCAGTGGGTACAAGAGGTTGATCTCTAGCAGCAGCTTCTTCAGGAACAGTGTTCTTTTCATTACAGGAACCATTATTTTCTTCAAAAACCTCCCATTTGTCTGTTATCATTGTCTTCAAAGCTCCACTTTTTTCTCTCTGTTCAACAATTGCATTGTTTTCTTCTCTTACAACTATTTCCATTTGGTTCTTTTCCTTGAAATCCTCGTCCTTGTATGTCCGGTCTGAAACCTCATTGATTATTCTCTCAAGTTCTTGAACACCTTCCTCCGGAATCTCAGTCACTTTGGGGGATTCATTGGCGTTTAAAACACCATATTCCTTGCAAAATTCAAAAAATAGAGAAAGTTCTTCACCCTGTGTCGTTGCCTTCTGAAGAATCTTAAGGGCCATTTCTGCTTCAAGTTTACCAACTGAATATATATTCAACAAAACCTTTGCAATCTCAGTGCATATTCTACTATAAACATCGAATATCTCAATGATGATGCAATCCATGGCTTCGAGAATTAAACGAACCTTCATATTATCAGCTCGAGGCCTAACTTGAAGCAAAATATCAAACAAAGATTGCCATTGCTGCAGCTTCAGAAGCTGCTGCGTCATCAATGGACGTTCCTTGGTTTTTCTATTGTCTTGATCAAACGAAACGACAGCTCTTTGATCTAGAAATGCAAAGTATTCGCGAATAAAAACATTGAAACCCCATGTTTTGGTTGACCTGAAATGATTGTCGCTGAAACTTGACAGATCAAATGGCATACGACCCATCTTTTGAACGGCTGGGACCTTGCAATGAAATACGCCATGCATAAGCATCAACCCCTTAATGGCAACCACCCAACTCCTTGTCTTCTCCATCCTTTTAGACAGAGCCCAAACAAGAGGGCGTAGGCTAATGGGGGACGTCCGAATCCACGAAAAAACTATTTGAGCATTCCTTTTATCAATGTCATATTCATAATGACTTGTGGCCTTGATGATGGCAGCCTCAAGATCAGGATTCCTAAAGGAACATTTTTTGGAAAAATTGGCCATGACTATGCTGTTCTTGTCTTTGATAGCACCGGTGGCCCTCTTCCATAGTGCCATGTTCTTTTTCGTGTTAAATTATCGCCCGGAAAAAGCTGCGGATTGAGGTTGATGAAGCCTTTTTCTCTCTATTTCATCTTTGCGGTAGTTGCAACTTGTATTGGTTTGTTACTACAAAATTTTGATTCAACAAATTGAAAACCAACAGTCAATATTTGGACGTGTGAAAATAAGCAGCCACATTACCAGCTAACTGAATTAGTGGCAGTGATTTGGTTGTGATTGTTTGTATCTCTGCCATTTGTTGGTATATAGTTTGAGAACATTATAGTATATTTAAGTTCGTTTACACGTTTGGACCGTTGGTACATGTTTGCCTTATTCATGGTTATCATTTTGTTATGTTGAGCTGCTCTTTACGCGCTTCTGTTTTGGCAACAAATGGCAAAAAAAATTTTAGGCTTTACAGTATACAATCTAATGGACAAATTTGCATCACTAATAAATATTCGTCTGGAGCACTAGAATTTAAAAATTCGATTGACGATTCTGAAATCATTTGTCTATATAGAGGATGTCAAAGTTTAAAAGCAATTGGAATTTACGAGTTTCAAGGATTGAATTCTAACATTGTTGGAATTCTGAAATTCAGAAGTAAGTGAATCATTTGAACTAAAACTGTTCTATCGTGTAATTCAAGAAAGAGATTATAAAAAAATTAAAAGTACCATGAATACCTGTACTTAAATTAGTCTTGGAGAGATGGATGATTCCTTGAATGAGAGGAGAGTGTTGTTTCCTTGTTAACGTATGCTATGAGAGTTCTTGCAGAAAACACAAAAAATTTCATTTTCAACCGATAGCATTCTAGAATAAAAACCAGAAAATAAAGCCTAGTAACAATGGATGATTTCTTGAATGACAGGAGAGAATTTTTGGACGAAAAAATCTAAAAACTATTCAATATCAATTGGCAACTTTCTGGAAGAGAAAACACAAAACTGTCCAATAATGTAACGTTATGATGGATCATTCCTTTAATGAGAGGTTCTTGGAGAAAAAAAAAACCCAAAATTATTGAATTTCAAGCGGTTCCCTGGTAGAAATTACCATGGTATTAGAGCGTAGGATAGCACTCTATACGGAAAAATTGCAGAGAGGAGTGGAAATGACAGAGAAAAAGGAGAAAAGAGAGGAAAAACAAAAAGACTATATAATGATAGTCACATCAAATTTTTATTAAATCTTTAGATGATATTACTTTTTAATTATATGAATTTTTATTTTAGATTAATGTGGACTTTATTTTTTTATTAGTTTAATTAATCTGTTAAATTATTTTAATTTAATATGTTGTTTGTTTTATTTATTTACATTGATCTATTAGATTATTTTAATTTAATTCTACGTTAATGTTTTATTTGTTTGCATTAATCTATTACATTACTTTTTTATAAATAAATATATAATTTTTATTTTATTAACTCAATTATATAGTAATTAGTAGTTGTTTTTAAATTTCAAGAATGTTGATGCAGCTATGAAGTTCAGAGTAATAGATTCTTTTTCCTTAAAAAAGATACATAAACCTGGTTTGAAGAGAATCTGGGCTCCTCCTGGGGCTTTATATGTCATTTTCTTTTGTTAAAAACAGGTCAGGTTTGGTTTCGTTGTTGGGTTTGTTTAAAATTGCATACAGTGTGAATAACAATCTACAAATCGAGTTTCTTTCCGGCTTTGTATGGGTTTGTTTCTGCTATCTGTTGCTTTCCGCTAACACAGCTCATGCATGTCTCATCTGCATTTTCCAACTTGTACGTAACCCAAGAAGAAAAGCAGAAAAGTGGGAAATTGTAAGATTTTCAACCAAACTACAGCTGCTGCTTCTTAAAAGCAAGAAAGCATGAGTAAAAAAGCTCCTTCCAAGAAAAAAAAAGAAGACAGAGACCAAGCAAAGTCATGGTGGGGAATCTTTATTCGTCTTTCACTCTACAGGTGATCCCACAGGCCACAGCGCCTCCTCTCTTTTTCTCTTTCTTTCCCTTCCTGCTTCTCCTCCTTTTCATGATCCCTTTTTCTTTTTTTTTTTTTCTTCTCTCTATCTCTCTCTCTTTCAAAGATACAAAGTAAGATTTTCTCTGCGCCTGGCATGAGCTTAAGAGCATATGTCTCTACGGAATTTTCATGTGGGGATGCTATTGTAAGTCCTTTCATCTCTCTCTATCTCTCCATCTTTCCCTCTCCATCAGGATTTCCTATATTGGGAAATTGATGCATTGTGCTTACATGGTTCAATTAATATTTCTTTTCAGGAAAGAAATGAAGGTGAAGTTCCACTAATAGATGAGACTAGCTGGGAGTCCAGACACAAGGGTGGTATGGACTTGGACTTACAGCATCATGCAATCGAGTTTGACATCGAGTTCTGGCCTGTTGAACATCCCATGGAGCCACAGGATGAAGATCGGCCAGTAAAATGCCCAATACCAGCTTCTTCCATCAATGCACGTTACAATGTTCTTATTTTTGCAGCAGAATTTTGATGCATGTGCTATAGCTAGCATTTCTTTGATTGGAATAATTCATTTGCCAGAAGACGTTTGAATTATGCCAACTTTTTTTACTCTTTCCTGTTCTTACAACATGCTTTGCAATCTGACTTCTCAATTTTTTTTTCAATTTACCGAGAAAAAGAATTCATTGTTAAATTTTTGCTTAGCTTAATCAAAGAGTCAATTCCAGGATGGTTCCAAACATATTTCTTTAGGAAGACAACAATTTTTCTGAAATGTAAAATGTATATAATGTTTTTGAAGGATGGAAGAGGCCATGAAGAAAGGGTTGCAGCAGAGAGCTCGCGGAAGAGATCAGAACAACCTGAAATGTTGAAGAAAGGAAGTGCGGTGGCAACAGAGCCACCAGTAAGAGCAGTGCGTAAAAGGCATCATACTCTTACCCATGACAACCACATAATGAAGCCTCCTGTCAGAATGCCACCTCTCCCTCCACTCCCAACTCAGAATCTTACCATTTTCCAAATGCTTCAGGAATCCGATGACTCTTGAAATGGTATATATGAAAAAGAAAAAACAATATTACACAAATTTTTCCATCCTTTTCAATCCTGTAATGTTTAGTTTCAAATGTATTTGGAAGGATGAGAAATTCTTCTTGATGTAGGAAAAAGAAAATCCTAGAATGTGGCCCAGATACATGTGATCTGTTCATTATTTAAATCCAAAGTTTTTCTTAATGAGGAACAATTATGACTTCTTGGAAGATCAAATTCCATTTGTAAATGCATTTTCTAGAATTCTGCTTTTGAAAAACGGTATTTCAGCTTGAACAATGACCTGGGGAAATCAGATATTACATTGTATCTGTCTGCTCAAAGAATCATACAATCCTCAAGTACCAGAACAAAAGAAGAAGCATAGTCTATGTCAAATTATGTACCAAAAAACTAATCCATGTCAGAGTGCCAACGGATATTTTTTGGGATGTATATCAAGCCAATATTGAGCTACACAAGAAAAGGCGAAGCTCACCCATCTCATGAAAACGACTCGCTCTTCTAAGATTTGAAATTTAAACACCCAAAAGTTGATCTTTCAACCAATTCTTAGCCAAGGTTGATGAGTGATGACTGATTTCAATACAGTAATGGCCAAAGCATGAACCAGAGATGGCTACAAGCCCTTCCCTTTCTTTGTTTTTCACCTAAGGCTTCAAAAACCATAACATTTGGAAGAAAAGAAGAAATGTAGAGCTAGAAACCCAGTTAACCAATAAAGGAGCTATTTCATCAAAATATGAAGCTGACATGATGAGTTTAAAAGAAAAAACTTTTGATCCGTATTTTATCATTCATTCTTCATTATTTTTGTACCATGACATACATACAAGCAAGGCGAAGCCAGCAAACGCATGAAAGGAGCTGAATCGGTGAATCAAGTTGGGAAGGAAGGACAAGCTTCATATTAAGGATCATCACATTTAGGGGGGGAGGATGGCCCTGCCTGTCCCTGGATTCGCCTCTGTAAACATGCTCAACATTGTTGCACCACTTGCCAATTTTAAAATCTTATTTATTACTATAAAACTATGAATTAAGAAAGACATTGTCCAATTAGCAAACACAATTAGTTTAGTTGGATTTATACTCTCCCACTATTCCATAAAAATCCAACTGCTCACCCATGCCTCCATCCAAACTACTCAATTATTAGTCATCTAGTTTATGTTACCTCTTTTTTTTTTTTTTTCTAGATAATAAGCTTGAGATCTGCCAATCAATTTGGTTCTTAAGCTACTCTAATCATTAGGAAATTTTGATTAAATTAATTGATGGTTAACATAAAGTGCATGAAGGTTAGCATTCAACACCCTGGTTGGAAGCAAAAAGGAGCAATCAGATTTTGGACTCTAGTTGTTAGACCAAAACAAAACCCTAATTTTTATTTTTTATTTTTTATAATCTGATGAAAAAAGAATAGAAAAGATGATTTGGACTTCTTCTCTGAGCTAGAACAAAAAAATAATTGGAGAATAAATACACCAAAAACAACTGTACACTCATCAGCAGATTTAAGTGCAACTACCACAGAATTAATAAATTCATATCCTTTCACATACATCAAACAATTATACAAGAAGAGTATTTTAATTATATCTTGTTGAATTTGGGAGCTTGATCTTCCTTTAATAGATAATCATCTGTTGAGGATAAATCTAACTAGCTTGTAATTCTGTCAAACCTGTCTGATAATAAAAAGCTTTGAAATTGTTTCAGTGAATGTAAAACCACAACTCCAGCAGTAAATATTGCCTTGACAGGTCTATGATCAGAGAAATTTTCTTCACTTCTGTTATATACATGTCGCTTTAATCCCTTCCCGTACCAGATTATTCTATCACACCTGAATCAAAGTAAAAGAAAAAGAAATTTGTTTAGGACTGAAATTCTTTGAATTACTAATTAAGAATGTTATATGTCAATTCAGTATGTTGATTACCATGCTGGGGCACGCTTCTTTTTGCCTTTTTTGCTTTGTTGAGAACATCCATAGTATACGTTAGAATTCGGACAGTATTTGTAAGTAGGAGCAAATGTGATTGATCCTTCATGCCAACCTTTAAATTGACCATTCATCAGCTCCATCCTTAGCTTCATTTGCATAAACATTTTTACACCAATGTTTAGAATAAAATTTTAATTAACAAGAAGAAGAATTTTTTTTTATTTAATATTGCCAAGATTTGATCATTGATAGCCGGAACTGAGAGTCCAGCATCTATTACCTGATCATTTTCCAGCAAGGCATTCCATTCTCTTCCTTCCACTAAGAGTCGAACACATGATTCTAGTAGGGAAATTTTATAGTTCAAATCTCCAAGCAAAATTACCATACTGCAAGGGAGCCAGGTTTGGTTAGCTGATATCACCATGGTATTCCCAGCATTAAATTTATTTTAATCTGCTCTTTATAGTCTAAAAAGCAATTGTTTAACTTGTTGGTTAAGAAGTCAACTTCGTCATAAATAAATGGACTTGATAATAAAAGATGGTATACCAGTAAAGAAATCTTCCTTTTCAGTCGGTTTATCACACCATTAATTTAGTTAACTGACCAGATCAAAACTTGCTTTAACAACTACATTAGGTAAGTATTAATTTGGAATATGATATGAAAATTATATGAAAAAAAATACGATTTAAAATTTTAGTCAAAATTATATACAAAGTTAGTAAAATAAAAAAAGAATGTGTTTTGCATTTGGTTTATCAAACAACTTAAATTGTTATATGATAATTTTCGTATTTTAAATGTGTTAAATATTAAATAGAAAAAAAAACAAATACACTAATTGCTAAATTTATATATAAACCAAAAGTCATTAATAAAAAACCTAGAACTTAGGCTAAATGGTTTGTCCTTAAGAGGTGGATTTCTGCAATGTTGGATTCCATTATCGATTAACACAAATTAGACTTCAGCTTTCCTATATATTAAAAAAAAAAGGTCACTAATAAAATAATTAACAAACAAACTTATATCTTTGTCGGCCTCAAATCGAACAGGAGAAATTCAAAGTCGAAAACTAGTAATCAAAATAATGATGTTTAAGCATTTTAATTTAATGGATCTTCATGTCTTGTTTTAATGATTTATAGTGAAAAGAAACTTTGATTAAAGAAGATAATTAGTATTAAATTGTTACTCCATGAACCAGTAACGAAATTGTTTTCGAATGTGTTAAAAAGATTATTAATAATCAAGTAATTTTACATACTCATGGTCTAGGATCTTTCTTGGGAAATCAAGTGAAGGGCCCCTAGGAAAACTTGTTCGGGACAATACTTCGGAAACATTGAAGTTTCTAAGCTTCTCATCCCCTTCTCTACCCCCAGAAGCTAGATGGCTGCAAACAAAGCAGAAGCTTGTTTCATGCAATCGAAATCTAACTGATACTGAACCCTGCAAAACAAGATTTTAAAAGGAGGGAATTAAGGAAAAATAACAAATGAAAAGAAAAATGGTTTAAACATTTTTCCACTTCGAGGAATATAGATGCTTTGATTGATGATGATGATCACCTTATTTCCTAGGCAGCCCAGGATTCCACAGCCTATACATGAAACACTTGGATATTGGATATAAGGACGAAGATAGCTTCGAACCCATACCGAGATTAGTATCCCAACCATTTGCTTACTTATAATACACTGAAAGTCTTGCACCGGGATGCTGTTTTCAATTGATGACTTTCCATCTTCATTGGAATGTTGGATTTTGTCTCGGCAGCCTGTTTTCTTGTTCAGAGCTTCTCTAATCAGGGAATTCCATTTCATGGAAATCTTGCTATTTTCTGATCCTAACACGTTGGACGTGCTCAGGGGCACAATTTCTTGAAACCAGGAAAGGACAATGGAAAACGACAATGATATCATTGACTTGATCAAACTGTAAAACTTCCAACTCATTGTTTTCTTCTAGTAACGATAATTTAACTGCTGGTGATTACCCAAGAACGTAGATGTCACAGGAGGTATTGCCTGTATCTAGCAAAACCTCCATATCCAAATCTTCATGTGGCGCAACCCCTCCAACATTCCAAGTACAAACAAAAATCCTTAGGAAGAAAAATGAGAAAGAAAATGGACTTGGAAGGATGAGCATATAACTTACTTATAATGATACAAATGATTTAAGTATATAAGTTACTAGCTGTTGCTTACCTGTAGTTCTGTGTATCCTTATGATGACTGAATATGGTGTTGGGACTCAAGGATGGTTGATCTAGGCTTGGAATTTCCAACAGGGTTTCTTTGTTGCTTAGAAAATCTGCGACAAACTTGTAGCTTCCTAATCTCTTTCTAAGGATCTTGTTGGCTACTAATCTGGGCCACATAACCTGGAAGCACCCATAGACAAGAGTTTTAACACTATATCAGTACACCTTCAAATGACAAGAGCTACGGAATAAGTGAAAGAATATTAATTCGAAAGCATGAAATGAAGTGTTACAAGAGAAAATGGGAGATTAATCACTGACTTCTTGGTTTCTTTTCATGGTGGAAAGAGAGGGAAATGGGAGAAGGAAAGCAGATGATATTGGCAGAAGTAAAGAGGATGGGAAGAAAGGGTTGGACAGAGAATGCCAAAACAGATAAAAATGACAGAGATGGAGATCATGCCGAGGAATTGAGAGAGAGACATCTGCAAGTTGCGAGGGAAGGATGCTCTTTCTTAAAAGATTACTGACGTTAATGATGATGCTCCAATGTCGTATAAAATTTTTTACTTGCAATAAATTTTAAAGAGGTTTAAACTACGGAAAATCATGGGTCTTTTTGCAGGCTTAAACTTTTGTATTTTAAAGAGGAGCAAGTGGGGGAGTGACTATAATAAAATACTACAGAAATTAGAAAATGGAGAACAGTTAAAGGGACGAGCTTCAAATGGCCCAGCAACATGGAACCATGCTTTTGCATGTTGTTGAATGCTCTAGATGGGTGTCTCCTTTCCGAACAAAAATTTCCATTTCCCCAGGTTGCTTGTTTTCTTCCCTTCCAATTGCATGTATATGTATCGGTATATACGATTTGAACTATACAATGGAAGGAAATTCTACAATTGGAGGTAGCTCTTGAATTTGAATCTGAAACTCTTAAAATGAAGTCGGCTCTTAATTAATTGCTTGAACAAGGAGGACAACTGCATAATATTCTTTTGCTTCCTATTGTTTGAAGTTTGTTTCCATTGTTTCTTTTAATTCAAATATAATGTAATTTCAAGATTTTTTTTTGCCTTTTTTTTTTTTTATGTTTTAACAGACAGAGTGTGAGTACATTCACAAACAACCCTACTAATTGAATCAGCTGCATTGGATCGTTAATTTGAATCAATCAGCATGAAAAATTAATTCAAAGCTGTAAATAAGGATGACAATGATTTGAATTAGATTGAATTCAATTTCATTTTTTTTAGATAATATATAATATTATAAATTTTTAAAATTTAATTTAAATTCGAACTGATTTTTTTTTAAATTAATCCGATTCAAATCAAATTTTATCGATTAGATTTGATTTGATTTATCAATTTTTAAATTTTAATTTTTGTATTTTTATATATTATTTTAATAAAATTTTTAATAAATATAAATAAATTTTTATATAATAATTATTATTTTTATTTTTTTAAAATTTAAAATATATATAAATTAATAAAAATATATAATTCAATTCGATTAATTTTTATATCCCGATCGAAACTTAATATATTAATTTAACATTGACCAGCTAATGCCAGTAGGAGGATAAGTCCTTATATCTATTCCAAGACTCTTGCATTGGGTCATTTTGGAATGAAGCAGGGAAGGATGAAGCCAAAATGCAAATAGCAAAGTTCAAACAGAAAAATGCCAACGATTTGTGGTTATAAAGCTGTATTTTTAATTTTAATTATTTTAATATTTAAATCTTGATAACTTTAAATATAAGAAAATAAAAAAAATAATCTCAAAGTTAATATTTACTACTATTTAGCCACTACAATTAATTAATTAATATGGTGGTTTTCCTTAATTAACCGTACATTAATCTTGATATTTGGTACATTAATTCTAAGTGCATGCGTCATTTGTGGCCGTCAGTTCGGAGAAAGAGAAAACTTATGTTGATAAAAGATTTGAATTATATAAAAATTTATCTATAAATTTCATTTAAATTTTGATAAATTTCACATAATTTAAATTTTAATTAATTATATTACATTATAATGATTATAAATGAAATGCTCGAATTTATATTTTCAAGAGTGTCCACCAACTTCAGTTTGTGTGGATTAATATTCATTGCTTGGTCTTTGATCTGGAAGCACGAAATTGGGATGCAAAAGCTACCTATAGACAAATCCACGATCATCATCCAAACAATAATTAATTGATTAAAGTAAACAAATTTATGTTAAAATTTTATGACCGACCGTATATGAATATAATAATAATTTTTTCACGTATTATCAATTAATTTTAAATTGAATAATTATCCTAAAATTTCATAACTATTTGCAAGTTTGATCCCATGCTGGGTATCTTAGAACAAAAGTGCCGGAAGGAGGAGAGAAAGGGCAAGATTTGGTGAAGAAGATATGATAATTTTTTGTATAAAATTCTTGCTTTCTCACCAGCCGATGTTTAAAAAATTGCCGCAAAATAAAAATCATTGGTCTAATTTATCTTTCATTAAAAAATGTTTAAGTTCTGCAAATGACGTAATTAGTAGGGATATAATTAATTATTTTTTATTTAAAATTATATTTTTAATTATTTTAATTAAAATTTTAATATTTTATCAATAAATTATACGATTGTTATTAACACCGTATAATTAATTAACTTTTGATTATATGATTTCCAACGACGTTTTTTCCAATATGAAGCGATGCCCGTTTGATGCCTTTGGATTGATTTGCCCGATGACGTCGAGGCCCCAAATAGTTTCAGGGCCAGGGTGAGGCAGTAGAGTTCGGAGGCCGGAGTGTTGATGAAATTGCCGTGCTCCTGACACTTGAAGCATTTCCGAACATGTTGGTAAGAATCCTTCTCCATTGTCGGCCAATAGTACCCCCTGGCGGATGATCTTCTTGGCCATAGCGTGCCCATTCATGTGAGGCCCGTCCTGCCCTGCCAAAGTTTAGTGAACTTTATGCAGATTCCATAGGCATTATACCAAAGGGGACCACTGCTTTCACTTTTCAGCTTACTGACTTCATGTCAGTTACGTTTGCACTCAAATAATCTATGTAGTTTTTGATTTGTTTGTTTTTGTATGATAAAAAAAAATAATGTCTTTGATAAATGAGATAATTTTTTATATATATTTGCTATTAAAAAAAAAAAGTATAGACAACTACAGATATGTTGTTCAGTCACCATGGGATGATCTTAACTGTTACATTGAATCATATGTAAATATTTGTTCACAGGGCCAAACAGTTTTGAGCTATAAAATCTCAGAATTCAAACAGCTAAAAAATAGTGATATTTATCACAAGATCACCAGGGATCTATAACTAAATTTCTTCAAGAGTCAAGAAACATCAAAGTGAACCCTGTATATAGCTTGATGAGCTCTCCATTGTGGCAAGCTTATTAATATTTCTTTATGTAACTTGCAGGAATAATCTTCCCATGCAGTGATTGCAGCAGAAAAAGTGGCTGAATCAAAATAATATTGCTCCACACTTCGAAAAACAGTCTCCTCCAGTTTAGTATCCTTCAGAAAAACAGAATTAACCTGACTAATTTTATCGCGTTGTGATTGCGATGATTGTACCACCTTGCCAAATTGAACTTCACTTGTGAAAGTTTGAGATTTGCACCCTTTCCAAAAATAAAATTGCACCACCTGTTCATCAATAGCGATTGACTTGGGTTACAATCAGGATGATTTTAATAGAAGGATCCGCTGAAAGAAATTTGCAAATGATCCGGTCAAGGTTATTGCACCCCCTGCACTCAGAAGTATCTCAGCAAAGCAAAATTTGCCATTGCAACCATATGAAGAATTCGTTAAAGAACTGTATTCCAGGCAATTGCTAAAGAGGATATGGATCTTTTCTTTTATTTGTCTTTTTCTTTTATGTCTCTCTTTCTTTTGCTAGGAAATAGCTCACAAAATATCATCTCATTAAGAAAGTATACTTAGCACATTTTTCAATGCATCAGCTATATTAATGAAATTATATGACTTAATTGCCATTCTTGAAGTAAGGACACCAATTCTTCAATACAATCATTAGAAGTTAAGACAACTATCAATGCATCAGCTATATTAATGAAATTAAATGATTTAATTGCCATTCTTGAACTAAGGACACCAATTCTTCAATGCAATCATTAGAAGTTAAGACAACTATCTCATATCAAGTAACAGTCATCCTACAGGTTCTTTGTGTAGTAGTTGCTACCTCAATTTCTATGGAAATAATCTGGAGAGACAGTAAATGGGGCAGTAATGAGCGAAAACGGCTTTAGGATTTGCAATAAGAGACTAAGTTAATCTTATGGATAAATTCAAATATGATCATATCTGATTATTCTAATGCACATAATTAACAAAGCATAAGTTTAAATACCAACGGTAAGAATACCTGAAGTGCATGCAGAACATTGACAAATTTATGGTCAAGCAACTGATCTCGCCTTACTAATTGCATTGGTTCCATGAGCAGTTCAGATAAGTCTGAGATAAAGTTCATGTCTTGGGAATAATATACATCAAATCCAAAAGCATGCAATCTTCCCAAGCGAATATCAAATCCCATGTCTTGATGAGAAGCTTGATTAGGAAAAAACCAATACATATTATCCGATGCTGGCACAGGTAGGAATGACTGTGGAACATTGTTAGACTTGTGTAAGAGGCTTTCTGCGAGTAGTGGAATAAGTTTAGCATCCTCATCATGGGAACTATCACGGCTGAACCATAGAGTAAGTGTTAGCCGTTCTCCATCAGTTACCTGTCAAACGATCTAATATATCAGCACCAGAAAATGCAGTTAGAAGAAAGGCAGTTGAAACAAGGTCCAGAACCACAGGCCAAAGCTAGTGCTGTAGTTTAGACAAAAAGGAGACTATACGTGGGAAAAATTAATAGGTGTTTGTTTTTTGCATGAAGCTCCTTCGAGGCACCATATAAAATACTAATCTAATACACACTAGGTGAACGATTCTCCAGTTATTTACCATTGTTATAGCATGCAAACACAGAACAAATAATGGATATCTGAAAGCAGGAGAGAATATAAAGAAAAGCCACCATAATTTCCATCATATTTCATTTCAACAAAAATAGATAGTTGGCTTGTTTCAGTCTTTTATTTGATTTTTATACCCTAGTCAAGCTTAAGCATGAATCACTTTTGTTAGAAGAAGGCAAGTCTAAAAAGAACTATGACTTTAACCGAGCTTCAGAACACATGGCTGAGTCATTTTTCATGGCTTTTATGTAAATCTATTCAATCTAGAATTTCATTAACAACAACCGAAGTCATAATTAGAACTCTTATACAAAAACTTACGGTAAAACTAAAAAATACGGAAGCAAACAAGCTATGGTTTGAAGCACTCTTGTTTATATATTCCAGCACACTATTTTCTGAACACCCTTCTTTTTTTTTTTTCTGAAATTACTTTCTGACCTCTTACATTATAGTTTTGAGTTTTCTCAAATTTTTGACTCAAAAGGAACGGAAAACATATACAAGTCAATTTTCACTAAGAACATAGCCCAATGCAAGCTTGAAAATCTAACTTTGAAGTTGTTATCAAGCCTAAGCACTAAGCAGCTAGACATGCAGAATTGAACCCCTAATAGCATCCATTTTCCTTAATAGAAGCATTGGATAGGTTTTTTTTTTTTTAGATTTTCACCCACGAGAGAGAGAGTGAGAGAGAGAGAGAGTGAGATCTTGAAACTACCTCATCCACAGAATGAGTGTTGCGGCTGTCAGCTGTATACATCACAGCATCCTGATATACAATAACTCAGTGAGTACCAATCAAATGTTATCTTAAACTATTGAGTAAACATGCTATCACTAGCCTTGCTCTCTAATCAAATGGAACATGGCTGCTTTTTCACTGAAGTCAAGATGAGTCACAAAGGAAGAAGTTTCCATATATGTTATTTTTCATTATGCAAAGATAATCTCAGCAACCAATGCATTCTATACAGAGGCAAAGTTATAACTCAGAAATTAGGCACTCAGACCTCATCATGTTCCTTTACTCATTACTGGGAACTCAAACATTCCAGAACCTAGGCCTTTTCTACCCCTTATTTAAGTCCTATAAGTGACACCTGCAAAAATACTTGCCCAAAGTAGTTCTAAATAATGCTAGATCCATGTCAAAATCATATTACTTACAGTATAATTGCATTCCAAATACTTAAAAACATATATCTTTTTTCATGTGCATTAGAATGCCTAACTCTAGGAGAGATATTAGCTCAGTTGTTAGATTTACTGTGACCTTAATAAATAAATCGTGTATCAATTGCAACCATTCCTGAAATGCTAGACTCATGATTGTGCATTACCAAGCAAATACTACTGAGAGAAACATATCTTAAGAAAACATGTAACAGCTGCACTTACTCCAACCAAAGGCGCAATTGTTTTGGGTTCCCCATCTTGGAAATGAAATAGTCCACCTTTGAAATCCGTTTGATAACTATTCAAATAACAGACTGCCTTTGGACAAAATAGAAAACACCCTCAGCAGGACTTACAACAAAAGACTAAATGTGAGGGACATTAGTATTTCCCAAAAAAATAAAGCACACACCGTAAAATCTCGTTGCTTGAGATAGGGCCTGTTATCATCACTATGCCAGCCAATGCTTGCTCCTCTGCTCCAACTACAACATATATGATGTATGGTAATCATTACATTAATCAACAGAAAAGTGAATAAACAAGCAAATGCAACACAGGTTTAACTACCCAAATAAATTAACAATTGTTTGTAACTTTTAATTTTCTAAAATTCAGGCCAAAATGGTTTGATCAGTTTTGCCCTTTGACCAAACAAAAAAGAACAAGAACCTGATGAGGCCAGTGAACTCCGTAACAAGCTCATATTCACATCCAAATATCTCCTCTACCTTCTCTTTCAGCCTATCTGTATATCAAATTTCAACAGCAAATATTAATAATAAATGAAATTTTATTAAAAAAAAAAAAAAAACAGAAGAAGAAAAAGAAAGGATTAAGGACCTCTGAGGGGAAGAAAAGGGAGGATAAGATGAGCAGAATTAGTGGCGATGAGATGAGAAAGTGTTGTTGAAAATACGTTTGGCCTGTAACCCACCGTGCTACAGCTCTTGTGTATGAACTCCAATTCCTGTTTTAAACTTTCAAGTCTTCAATTATTACTATTATTATCTCTAATAATTAATAGCCTCAAAATGATTTTGATAAAACGATGAACAACTTGATTGGGAATTTGGGTCTAACCTTGCATTCTTCTTCTGTCAGGAAATTATGCAAAATCAATCTGGGATGCTCGATCTCCATTTCCCTTGTTTGTTTCACCCTACTACTAAAGGTATGAAAATATGGGCAGTGGCCCAATCTGATTATATAAGGAAATGGACACAGTTTTTTGCATAAGCCCAATCAGATTAGGGTCAATTTTTTTTTCTTACAATTTTTTTGGTATGTTGATTCTGTTAGGCAAATCATCAATTCAAAGATAACGTCGTTGTAGTTTTCAGATTTTAATCCAAACTTCATATTATTTTGTCATATGATAATTGTTCTCTGTTTATCATTCAGCATAGCTATGTGTTTTTCTCTGAGATTAAATAACTTGTTTCATCAGGTAACCAAGTGGCCTGCATCTTTCCCGCACTGTAAATTTCTTAAAGCATTTCTGAGTAAGAAAACTTGTAAACCAGATATTAATGAGAAGCAAAGTTAAATTAAGAATGGAGTTTTCCACCCAGTTTGAAGAGTTTACATAACAAGACAACCAAAAAAAAAGGACAAGAGAGGGGACTTAGAAGTTCCTGCCTTCCCTCTGTTCCCCCATGCTGGTATGAAATGTCAAAAGTCTGGAATGTTGCCGCTCTTTACATTTGCTTTAAACTCATTGCAGTTCGCAGCCTACCTCCTTTCCTTGAAGAATTTCCATTTCTCTCTCTTTCCAAACTGCACTAGCAGGTTTGCTTGATACTATTATCAGCAAACTGTTGTTCTTCCTTCATCTTAGCTCCCCCGCTGCCAATTCCATCTACACTCCCATTGCAGTCTTGCTTTGGAGTATTTCCATCTAGCCTCCCCATGGGAGAAGTTGTGTGATGATGAGGTTTCCCAGAACCATTCTCTTCTTCCGGTGGGGAAGTTGCATCAACGGGAATGTTGAGTTCGGTTGCAGTAGTCGACAACTGTTGAGGTGATGAATTACTAGAGCCTGGCGGAGGTAGGAAAACTCCAGTGCCAGGAACAGGTAGACGGGGTGGAGGATGTCTTGGAGGAGCAGCTGGCCACCCAGTTGAACCAGGTGGGATGGGAACTGGAGCAGGAAAAGGAATTGCAGGAGCAACTGGACTGGGCACAAATAAAGTTTGAACACCATTTGGAGGTGGAATTTGTGGCCGAATTGATGGGGCTGGCATTACACCAGTTGTTGGCATTGCTGCATAATGCTTGGGACCAGCAGAATGTCGAAAATGATTGGGTGATCTACTACTAGGTGGCGGACCCCATGGTGACTGAGAAACTGAAGGTGAAGGAAGTCTCTGGTTGTTATTCATGGATTTCTTTGGTTGATACTTGGTAAAGGTTACAAGTATGCGTTGCTTTCGGACAGTCGGAAGTGCATGTTTGGCGAAATCAGATGATTTTCCTTGCATCACAAGGAGAGATCTGCAAGATAGTTATAAAATACACCATCTCAGGAATAAGAAATGAAAAATGAAAATAAAATGGAACTCAATGAGGAAACACCTTCTATTAGTCATCGCTAATCTAATAGAGTGCAAACTCTATACCTTGGAAGCATTATTACGAGTTAATTTTAGGATTGACTTAATAGCTAAATTGCTCAAAGTAATCTGAAAAAATATACATAGTATTCAATTCTAAACATGCACCATTTTCCAAGCACATTGAAGGGTCATGAATGTGGTAGGATCCACAGAAACAGTAAAATAATTACCCAGGTGCAAGAGAAAGCTTTAGAGAGCCTCTAAAGTCCCCAGGTTGATCAACTGCAATTACCCTTCCAAAAGTAATGTCGCACTCAGTCAAGAACATGAGGCAAACAGGCTTTCCAAACCAAGGTGGCCACGTGCAAGGCTGTGAATGATCCCCCTAGAAGTTAAAAAAAAAAACCACCATAACATCAGCCTTAAAGCTTAAGCTCATTTTAGGCAAAACCACCAGAAGCAGCTTGTTAACCTACCTCATTATAGAAATCAATGATGCAAGAGTCAGGCTTTGCAGTCATAACTTGCAAGTCGACCAAACGCTCAATAGCATCTTGCAGCAAGGCAGGAACGGCTTCTATTTTCCGATCTGCTAAAGCTCAATCAAATTTGAAAGGAATTAAAATCATCTGTTACTTAAAAATTTTTAAAAATGTTTCAGTCAAAATTAAATATATATTTCATTACTTTCTGTGTGCATGTGTGTGTTTGGGTGGGTGCGGGGAAGGAGTCAAGGAAGGGATGGCTCGTCATAGAAACATGCCTTTGGAAGTTGCTGCAGCAGTTTCATCATCTAGAGGTGCATCTGCAATCGGAAAGCCCAATTGGATCATCTCTCGGCCATGTCCCTTCATGGGTTTTTTTGAAGCCACATATGTCTGACCTGCTTCTTGTAAATTGTCATATAGCAATTCAGCTATTACTTATTTGAATGCAAAGATACTAATTTTACAAATATTCAGCATCCAAAAAAATGCACTAACAGACTGGAGTAATTCCAAAGATTGACCAGATATTAAAAGAACAGAATCAGCTAAAGCATGAGCAAAATTATCCATTCCTCTTACACAATACAGAAATTGATTGTAGGACACAAACAAAAGCAAAAATTAAAAAATATATATATTAACAACATGGTAGCTAAAGAAGTACTAACATGTTCAACCATCCCTGGAATGGTCCCTAGCAGTTGCCTCCCTAGACAGTATTTATAAGAATACAGGGACTCAAAAGTGCAGAGCCAAGTTACAGGCCAGGGTTTATACAACAAAATAAACGTTTACCAGTCAATTGACATGCAGGCACAAAGCAGTATTATCAAGAAAAAGTAAATAATCATGCCCGCATATCTTATAATTCAAAGGTTTGGCCTCCAAGCATACGTCTTTTTTTCACTATATTTGTCTAGCTCACAAAACAAAACCAAATGCGTCATGCAAGTTAAACGACACTAATATTTAACATGCCAAGTAATCACTTACAATGATAACAGTGATAGAGTAGAAACAATCACAAAAATGAATCTAGAAAGACTATCTTTCTAATACAAAAAACCAAGCAAAGTTATATCCACACAAGTGGTTCAAGGAAACTGAGTATAGCCCACCACCAAGTTGTTTTCCCGTTTTTTACATATTCCTTTCTCTCATCATTATGATAATTGAAAAACAATGTACTCATGATATTCATCCCAGGAAGTTAATTCTAGGCTCATTTGAAAGAATCATAATAGAGAAACCAAAATGCAATAATGGAACCAACATGAATCTACATCCCCATTTCTACCTGATTACAAAAGTAGTAGCATGCTCAGTACAAGCCTGTAAGATTAATATAAAATAAATAAACAAATAGAACCCTAGATGCAAAGAAGGTTAGAAAAGAAGCTAGCTGAATCTCTAAACTGCATGATATTACATTGACCCAAACCTCATCTAGCTCAACGTTAAGACCTATATCAAATGACAATGGTCTAGTTCTACTTGATTAGAAGCTTGTAGCATTCATAAAAGTCAGCAAGCACACTAAACTAGATCGCTTAAAATAAGGACAAGTCTTGTTTTTCTAGTCACTTATATGGTCAAAACAGTGGCAATGTCCATGGCATGCATTTAAAGCACAAGTCTAACTGAAAAACAGCTAAGAAATTCTTCCAAGCTAAATAGGTAAATCAGTTTAAGCATATATAATACAACTAAATAAGCACTTTTCTTCTATTTGCAATGATCATCCTGATTTCTTTTCAGTATTCTTACCACTTTAGAAATTTGAGAAATTGACTCCATATAGAGTATAGATAAATTAACCAAGGAAACAACTAGAAGCTTCCAAGGATCAAATGCAATTTGGAAAAAATTACTTCCTTCTAGCTAGACCAAAAATAGAAAGGAACTTTTAAGAGAACTTGCCTTGAAATTGTCCTCTTCTCCCTGCAGCCCTTAAATCATTTACCAATGAGACAAGATTTGAAACTTCCTTCTCATCAAACAATTCCTTGTACAATTTTAGCCCATCCACCACATTGACCTTAAAACAAAAACACTGGCCCATAAGAGGTATAAACAGAATAGGGGGAAAAAGAAGCAAGACAGTATGAGTCCATCCAGAATTTCACAAAACATCATAATAAAAGTTACTAAGAATTACCATCTTTCCGTCAAACATCTCATTACCAACAAAAGTTTTTGGACTGGTAGCCAGATTCTGCCTTTCATTCTGATTGTGGGAGGAATGTGAATCATTCTCTAAAAGATCATTAATAAAAAATTAATATAACAAAACACAGTGAAACTAAATGCAAAACTCTAAGGAATTATTCAAATAAACTGAAATATCTGAGTTCAAGCGTTCAACATATGGTGCAGGAGTTGAATCTAAGGTGCAACCACTAAATACCCTACCTAGTTTATTCTCACCCTTCCGAGCTAAATAGGAAAGCAAGGATTCTTTTCTAGAATATATAAGTAAATAAATTTGGATAAGTTTAAGTCTTAGCCCAAAAAATTGAATCTAGTGAATATTAAATGTACAGCAGCTGATACTCATACATAGTGCAGCTTCCACTTTCAGGACCTTCTAAGAGCTAAATCAACCCGTCACCAAAGTAGAAGGATGCACCTTTATAGCATGATGTGCATCCACCATTTACATCCTCAGTTCCAGCTTCTAAATTTCCAGGTGTAGTTTCCTTCGAACTCTCACACTTTTTTAAGCTGCTATCAGCATGAGGTTTAGAACCAGCATCTTGGTTCAAAGCCCAAAGAAAAGGAATGTAAGTCTCACAACATCAATTGCCAAGTACAATACGTATTTACAATTAATGGGTGTTTCTTAAAAACATCAAGTACTTATTATAAAATGTGGCATGGCTAAGAAAAGCTTGAAAATGTATCCAAGAACCTCCATCAAGAGCAAATGAAAAATCCCTTGGAGTTAAAGTTAAAACCAGAAAGATTGCCTTATGCACTGATAAAAAATGCCCCATTCCATAACACAGTTCTTACGAAATTTAGCAAGACTGTATTGGGATACCTTTGAAGATAAATGTCAAACAAATGTTTTGCACAATATGAAAAACTTTTAAGTTATTTATCACATCAAGTAAATTGTGATATGTGCCCGTAAAACTAATAGCAAATTTGGTAATAAGTTAATGAACTTTATCCTCTCCAAGAATGTGAATAAGTCATTAAATGCATGTCTCAGAAATTTTTTTCACCCATCTCCAACCACACCACTCTCGGATGAAAAAAAAACGCCCGCCAGTAATTATACATAAATCCAGTTTCAGACAAAATTGTTCAAGAAAAATACTGCAATTGTTGATTAGGTAGGTATATTACATATTCAGGTCAAAGTGGAAATAGAAAATGCGATAGCAATTTCCAAATAAGAAAGCTTCCTTTAAAATCCTTCAAACCCGATATAAATTCTATGAAACAACAAAAGGCTACTTTCTTGTTTCGGATAAGATGCCTAATCAAAGAAAGAAGCATATGTAGCAACACCATGCTTTACAAGCAAGTAAATAGTTCCTAAGTCAACAATATCAACACTCAAAATCTTTTAGAAATACAAATTTCAATCATTTCCATCGCAGACCAATAAGGCAATAACCAAACATAACACACTACAGAATACCAGGTATCATTCACTAATGAATTCGACCTTCACCACAAAGTAAGTAAAACAGATTAAAAAAAAAAAAAAAGAAATGTGAACCAAGTAGTTACCTTTTTTATCCTCTGTGACAGCTGAGCCCTTATCCTCCACCTTCCCTACCTCACCACCCGACTTAACTTCCTCAAGTTTCTCACTCCCTCTCTCATTTCTCTCCGAAACAGCGGTAGCAGACGAATTCCCATCACAATCCACCCCAGAATTATGCACATCTTTAGCCACCTCTATCCTATGCCCCTTAAATCCAATGCCAGATCTTTTAAACTCCTTTCCCCCCACCTTCCCTTGATCATAATGCCTTTGTCTTCGTCTCCACGCGACCTGTTGAAGCGCGTAGGAAACTTCAGCAACCGAAAAATACTGTTGCATATGAAGCACTGGGCTCCAATTACATCTCCTTTGCTGAATGTAAGATATGACGGCTTCATACTCCCCAACTTCCCCAACCTCACGCAAATGTTGACAAAGTGAGTCAATCATAGCATTGGCTGCTGCGAATTCACCCCGCAACCAATAGATAAACCCATCACGCTCATCGGGGAACCATTGCCGGTGATGGTGCTGGTGGATCTCTCCTCCTGCACCTCCACCGCCACCAACGGCCCCACCAGCACCACCACCGCCAGCTCCTGCAGCAGCAGAAGCAGGAAACTGCATTTGATCAGATAAAACCACATTCCCCGATGGCATTGCCATTGATAAAAACTCCCTTACCAATAAAAAAAAATCCAAACTACTAAAACAACATATATAAATTAAGATACCCCTAATCCAGATCTAATTAATTTAAATCCCACAAAATCCAACCGGATCACGTAAAATCACAAACAAAATTCCTGTAACTTAAAATAATTCAACTTTGAAACAATCCCATAAAAAAAATTTAACAAGTGGTGTTCTTTATTTCCTTCTTTTCTGGGTTTAAGCCGATCTAATAAAAGATTCACAATGAGAGAAGAAATGGGTAGCTAAGGAACAAAAGCAAAAATGGGAAATGGGGGTTGGTCTAGTTTAGTCAGATCTGGAAAATGGGGTCGTTGCTTTTGTTGTGTGTTGTACGTGTGAGGATACAGTGAAACAAAAGTGTGACGTGAGATGGGGAGTGTCAAAAGAAAAACAACTAAAAAGAGAGATTTAGGGTTTGGGTTTACGGAAGAAAAGAAGAGCTAAAATGGCTTATTGATTACGCATGTGTATGGTCTTAAATGGTGACTAAAATCCAGACGATCTCCTTCCTTCTCCTTTCTCCCTTTCTTTCATTTCCCAATTTTTTTTTTATATTTTCTTTTTTATTGCGGATAAATCGATCATCGACATTCGAACCACAAAAGAATATTCTTCTTCGTTTGAGGGTAATTATGGTTTTTAGAGAGTAAAAATAATGATGAAGTGATACAAAAATTTTTTTTTTTTATTGTTTGAATTTAAATTATTTAAAAAATCATGAAAAGTAATTTAATATAAAAAATTTATTTTATTTAATTTAAAAAATATAAACCGATGAAACTCTAAAATCTTTTATCATTAAAAAAATATAAAATATTTTACGCGGAGAATCAATGAAAAATATTTTTTTTGATTTTGAATTTTTAAGTTTTGGAATAAAAATTTTCAATTGAAACTCTATTTACTTATTCGTATAATAAGGTTATTTAGTTTTTTTTTAAATAAATATAACATTCTAATGATATTTGGATCGAGAGAATTAATAATTTTTTTTTAATTTTGATAATGAATTATTTTAATTTAAAATAATCTGATTATATAAGAAAGTAACAAATTTTCAATCAAAATTTTAAAATTAAAAATTCATCCCTTTTTATAGTATTTTAAATTAAAAAAATTATTTTATTTTCAAAATTAAAATTCTATGTTATTATAAATTTTTTATTATATTTAGTGTATCGAATCTAAAATCATCTCACCTAATAACAAAAAATAAATTAATAAATATATATTAACCTTTGCTTTTTTTGAAAGCTTGAATTAAAAGCATTACTTTTTTAAATTTATAATTGTACTTATTTTTTATCTTAAAATGTACTTTTTTATTTTTGTTTTTTTCTCTTTCATAATTTAGATAATATATTATATTTTTTAATATTTATTTAAATAATAAAATTATTTCACATTTAATGTTTCTTTAATTATATATTTATGATCAACGTACAAATATTTAATTATTGTATTAAATATTTTTAATATAGATATTAAAAATTTTATAAATTTTTAAGATCTGAATGGACTATTATCCCTAAAAGATTTATGTATCTTTAATTGTATGGGTGTCTATACTAATTAATTCAAGAAAACATTGTTTCCTTAATTTCCAAAAAAATAAATATTTTAACATCAGTTGATAAATTATTTTTATGAGATTACTTCTAAAAAAAGTATAATCATTAAAATCAAAAAATTAATTTAAAATTTAACTCAATTGATTCATATAATTTCTTATCTAATAAATTTAAAATTCAAATCGTAACATTTACAGTTATTTGTTTTATTTTCAAACTATAATCTTATTTGTAAAAAAATTCAAACATTTTAATATACATATTACAAATCATTACATCTAATACAAAAAATTATTAAACAACCCGAACAAATAAATCAAAAAACTAACATCTAATTAGATACAACTCAAAATAAAATTCAATCAAATCACGTAATTAGATCTAAACTTGAAATCTCAAAATTTAAAAAAAAAAATTTCTTACCATTAAAGGTAAATATCATGATATTAATTATAAACTTTTGACTTTGCAAGGAATACCATAGAGTTGTCAATTTTGGGCTAAGATAGGGTTAACTTAAACCCTTAGCATCATATTCTTATGTCCAAGAGTTCGTGGCATGGCATAATTTTTTTTTTTTTTTATTCAAAGAAAGGCATTGCCTTTATAAGAAAGAAATGGGAGGAGATCATAACTCGAAATTAAGATTTTTATGTGCTTATAAAATCTCCTTAGCCATTAGATCAAGAGATGGAGATCAGCATGGCATGATATTTGAATAAAAGTGGAGTTCAACTTCCATTAAGCCAAGCTTTATCCTTATTCTTATACCTTGAAAGATAGTTGATAGTTCCATTGACAATCTCATGTTAGCATCCCATATGTCAAGTAAAACACTCCATTAATTTCGCACTTAGTTATATATTTCTGTAATGATTTTGATTATATGATTTATTTTTATATAGATTTGGAAGCTTATTGAATCAGATTTAAGTTGCATAATTACGATAAATAATTTTTTCTCATCTTATTATATAATTATAATAATAAGATTGTATCGATGGCAATTTTACGTTAACAATTCATATGTAATCTATAATTTTTCATCTATAATTTTTATTTTTTATACAAAAAAGACCAAATTTAAAATTGTAAGAAAATGATAATTGCAAGTATTAATATATGATACAACAATATTATTTAAATTTTATATTTCTTTATATATATATATATATATATATTCATGTTAAGGTTTGTCGAGTAATGTTTAAAGCTTATAGTGTTGATTTTTTCTTAGCATCTCTCTAATGATCATCTCTAGTTAGGGAAAACTTTCCTATAGTTACTAGATATAATTAAATCCATTTAAACAAGGCAAATGTACTCAGCTTCATGCTTAGATTAAAATTTGTTAAATTGGATACTTGAAATACTTTGGTTGTTGTGGAATTAAGAAAACAATAATTAATAATAATTATAAAGGAAAATTACTAAATATAGAATAAGAAAGTTGTTTTAAAGTTATATAAGTTAGATTTATATAAAACAAAAAAGGCACTAACTCAATAGTACCATACCTAAAGAATAATGGCTAGGGATTAAACCTAACTTCACATTCTTCATCCAATCATTGTTAAAAATTTATATTTAATGTGTTGATAGTATGTATATGTTACATATTATTAGTATATCATAAATTATCATATCATTAATTTATTTTAACATAATTAAATATTTATTTTTAAAATTTATAAAATATTATTTTTGTTAATAATGATGTAAAAATTTGTAGTGCATTGATAATATATACTATTATATACTGATATTGCATTCAATATAAATTTTTACCGATAAATTTAACATTTTAACTTCTTTCTTTCACTTGCTTTCTTCTTATTTCTTTTTTATTTTCCTTTCTTTCTCTTCCTCTCACATGATTGGATGTATCAAAATTTAGTTATGATATACATGTTAGATTTTTTTCATAATTGTAGATTATCATTAATTAAAATTTTGGCTTATAAAAGGAGCTAATAAATTTAGTCTTAAGAAAAACATGCAATTAAATCCAATTAAGTTGGAATGATCAATCTAATTCCGACCTTTTCATGTCTTATTTGGACTAACATAATTAAGCTGAATGTATAGATCTTAACACAATAAAAGCCTTAATAGAGCTATATTTAAATTTTATATAAATAGTCGGTTATATTTTTAATTAGTTAGTATGTTATTGGAATTAATATTTTGAGATTGAAGGTTCAAAAGCGTTTAAGTACGTAATGTATTTTTCGATCAAATATATAATTAAATAAAAGAGTTTTAAAATAAATTAAAATTTTCACAAACAAATTTTTATAAATACGACTAATGTCTCCTCTTTTACTTTGAACACATATTTTATTCATTAAAAACAACACAAAAATGAAAAGGAAGATCTTGCCACAATCAAAGATCAAAGATTTTGTCTTAATTTCTGCATGTAGATATTAACAAACCTTAAACAGGTACCTCATATGATTGATATTGATTTTGTGTTATATCTTTTACACATGAAAACTGAGAATTAACTTAAAATAAATATATTTTAAAAAAATCTAGTTAAGATAATGAGCAGTGTTTTAAAAAATGGGTAAGATCAATTCAATAAAAAAAATCATTGGCTTATTCGGTTTGAAAAAGATAATTTTTAAGTTTCTGATCATACCATTAAGCCAAATGCATTTTCATTAAGAATTGTCTCCTAATGTAATTTGTAGTGACCTTCTAACCCTAAGTTTTTAAATTTTATTTGCCATTATATTAAATAATTTTATCTTTCTTTAATTTTAAATTCATATTTTTAGGTGAGCATCGTCTTTTTTATTTTTTATTTTTGAAACAACATCATCTTTTAATTAAAACAATTCGATTGAATTGAAATTTGGTCTTCTACCTGATTAGTATCAATTCTTCACCAAAACCCAGATTAAAATCCATTCCAGATTTCTTAATAATAGGGTTTCATATTGGGATAACCAAAATTAGAAGGAACAGCTATGGCGCATCTGACAACTCATTCATAAAAATATAAAGACCAATTACAATGCTATCCGTACCTCTTTTCCAACTGTCCGTTTCAGGAGCAAACTAATGACCCTGTACAAAGATTAAAGGACATCGTACAACTTCAATTTTATAAAGCAGATTCTCCGGGAAAGACTGAAACACTTCTTTGTTCTGTTTCTCTCTTGAGAAGAAAAATGGGAACTAATTTTACGACGCATTTATCTCTGGTTCAACCAAAACCTTCACTTTCTGCTAAAACCCTTCAAAACCCATCTCTGTCTCGCCTATCCATGCTCTCTCCTCCATCAAGTCTCTCTTTTTTCTCTATCTTTTTTGGGTTTTTTTTTTGTGTGTAAAGAGTATCAAAGACAGTTCTTTTTCTGTTTTGTTTTGTTTTGCAGGGGTTGGTTTTTTGCCAAAAAAGAGAACTGGGATTTTTGGAAAAGTATGGTTGGTATCTGCTGTATCGGACTCAGCCTCCTCAGTTTTGGAGAATAAGAAAAACAGCAAGAATCCCATTATCGTCATTGACAATTATGATAGTTTCACCTACAATCTTTGCCAGGTTTGATTGCATGTTCAAAATTTTGTGTCTTTTCTTTGTCCAATCTTTTGCCTTCTCTTAATTTTCCATATGGTTTAAAGCTTGACTCTGGAATGCTGTTTGATTGCCTACAAATCTTTAGGAAAACAACAGAAAACAGAATTACTGGTTGGCAGGCTCGTTGGAAATTCTTTGCACTTTGTATCTGAGAGAATATATTTTGATTGAGGGAAGACTTGATAATTTAATTAAAGTTGAGAAACCCGATTAAGACCAGTATAATAGGAAGAAATCTACTGGTTAGATTTGTTTCTTCTTATAAGAAATCAGATAAGATACATACACATGTATGTATGCATGTATGTTTGTGGTCTAGAAATGATTTCTTTTACAATTGAAAATTTATTGTTTTTGGTATAATTCTAGTTCTTCCTTTTCAAGGGGAGGATTTTGCGTTTGAAATGAGGTGCTTCATCATAACTATTTTACCTCAATAAAAATATTGTATTTTTATTATGGCTATGGTTGTAAATTGAAAGCAAATGTGGTTTGAGGGTATCAATAAGAAACATGATATTTCAAAAGTAATAAATATTCCTATGGTGTAGTGAGTTCAATTTGGTATCTTTGATACTGGAGGTTACTCAGTTTGATGGTCTTGACCAATGAAAATCAATACTATGTGCCAATTTTTTATATTTATGGTACCTCAAATTCTTTGGACAGAGATTACCACCATTGCAATCAAAAGTGATTTTTTTTTCTGAAAAGAGTAAGCACTGCGAAACCGACTAGTAGGCAATAGAATGACATCTGGCCTCCAATGTAGGGAATCATCCCTACTTGGCTCTGGTCTTTCTCCTTCTAAGCAGATACGATTCATTGGATTGTCCCCTTATGAAAGGAGTAATAAGAGTTAATTAAAGAATTTACGGAACTTGAATGTCGCATCTTCTTTATTTTGAACTTTTTTGTTTAATTGATCTTTTAGTTTTTTCTAAGTTGCATTCTTGAGTAAGAACTGAATATCCTTTGAATTTACCTGTAATTTTCTAGTATATGGGAGAGCTTGGATGTCACTTTGAGGTTTATCGAAATGATGAGTTAACTGTAGAAGAGTTGAAAAGGTAAGAACTAACCTTTTTATAGTGCAATGTTGTTTATTAATCCACTTGTGTAACATGAGGGTCACTTGGGTGGTAAATGAGTATTTATTAACATATTATCTCTAAAGATTTTATTCAATAAATGACAATTTTTCTTGTTATATTTGTAGGAAAAACCCTAGAGGAGTGCTTATCTCCCCTGGTCCAGGTAATAGTTTGCTATTTTTTTTACACTATAAATAAATGAAACATAATAATCTGTTATATTTAAGCACGTTACAAACTTTCTATCCTTTATATAGGAACACCCCAAGATTCTGGAATATCATTGCAAACAGTTTTGGAACTTGGACCTATTGTACCTCTGTTTGGTGTTTGTATGGGTTTGCAGTGCATCGGGGAGGCTTTTGGAGGTGAGGGTTCTAGGATACCTTAAGTAGCTCTTATTCATGTTAGTTTCTGCCTTTTCTATATTATCTCAATATTTATAATAGGAAAGTGACTCTTATTCATGTTAATTTCTGCCTTTTCGATATTATGTCAATACTTATACTAGGAAAGCTAGATCCGAGACCAATTAATATTTGTGTATGTTTATCATGGAAGATGAGCTCCTTATTGGGATTTTAACATAATCTGTTTGACTTCATTGCAAAATGCAGGAAAGATAGTTCGTTCACCCTATGGCGTTGTGCATGGCAAAAGTTCTCTCGTATATTATGATGAGAAGGGGGAAGATGGCTTGCTCACTGGATTGTCAAAGTATGTATTACTTCTTCTGACATGATTCTACTTTTATAATTCTTAAACTGGGCTCACAGTATGTGCTATATATGCAGTCAAACTATCAATTTGTTCAAATCTGTTTCTAAAGAGATTGTTTCTTGAGCTCCCTTTTTACCTTTCGAGTCTAGAGATTGTTTACAAGTTTCATTTTTTAGGAAAATTTATATACTATGTAGGCAAAATTGTGGATAGGGTGCTATTAAACAAATTTCTATCAAACAAATTAGTTAACATCGAATTCCATCCCCTCTACCTTATCTCCTTTCTCTTTCATCTCCGTCAACCACTAGAGCTGTAATTACCTAACCTTACCTATGCCTTGATTCTTCAACAATCAAATGTTTCAAAAGTCTTCCTCAATGTAGAAGAAGGGGGAGGGGGACATTATACCACTCGAGTTTGATGTGTAGGATAGTCCTGACAAATAAAAGTTATGAATATTCTGGTTTTAACTTCAAAGAGTTCAAATTTCACTATTTCTTCCTATGCCCTCAAGAGAAACATTATTGAGTCTTCAACAAAGTATTTTACCTCCTCTAAGCTTTTGTTTATCAATGTAATAGATCTCTGGTTCGACTCTTGAAGGGTCAGAAAGTCAGTAGAACTCTATTTAGCATTTTAGCTATGATGTTCACACAATGCAGCATGTTACACATAATGTGCATTGTTAAATAAATATGTAGGTAATGATTTCCAAGTTTGTTATGGCCATGGAAATAACTAAAGTGGTATAAAAGAAAGCTTCACTTAATTAAAATCTCATATTAGCATTTAATAATTACAAAAATTTATATTTTAGTTATGAAAATCATCATGCCGCTTTCTGAACTTGGTTTAGCTATGAGATTGGCAACGAAAGGGGTGGCAAAAGCAGCGAGTCAATTAAACTACGTATAAAGTAGGCTGATCATATAAATTTCACATAGCATATAGCATCTATTTCCTAAGGGTATATAATCACTATTTAGCAATTTGCAATGCTCATATTGAGAAAATAAAATCAAACTCTCTCTCTTTGCAAACGCCCTCACTGTCTCCCCCATCACCCACGTGGGTGTGATATACTGTTGTTGCACACATTTGGTCAAAACCTCATATTCCTTTTATGCTACTATCCTAGGGCATAATGCTAGACATTTGTGAAGCATCTCTTAATTTATTTCAAGTTAAAGAATTTTCAATTTATTTCCATTAGTTACACCTCACATTATTAGCAATTCTTACTATTATTGTGCCTTTTCAAGCCCTTTCAAAGCCGGAAGATATCACAGCCTCGTGATTGAAAAGGACAGTTTTCCTTGGGAAGCACTCGAGGTTACTGCTTGGACAGAAGATGGACTGATAATGGCTGCTCGGCACAAAGTATATAAGCATCTACAGGTAAAGACTGCCATCATTTTTAACTTGTAATGTATTAGCACAATGACTTGTTGAATAAGAAGATACACATACCATCAAATTGGTTACAAACTAATTGGCTTGTAGGAATTTGTTTGATGTGTTAGAACTGATTTCTTCACGAAAATTAGTTACAATCCTTCTAACTGTAATAATTAAAGTAATTATATTGTATAGTATTTCCGAATTACCTTAGGTCCTATGTGATCCTTTTATCATCTTAACTTGCTTCCGTCCCTGCCCCTAATTAAAATTGATGAATCAACACGAATAGAGAAACCTCTAATCGATTTATTTGGCAAGACAACCCTACATAACCTTGTCTAGAATAATTGGAGTATATTATTTAGTATGATAGAAACACCATACAAACTTGGGCAATTGTAGCTGTTGTCAACATGTGCACTCCAACTAGCTCCTTGGATATGGTACCTTTATGAGCATCACAAAAGGGTAGTGCTGGTTGTTTGTGCTCTCCTTGTGTAACCTTTATTAGATCCTAAAACCATGAAAGTTTTGTAGTTGATTGAACATTAAATGACAGCAATGCTTGGAGAATTGCATTCTTTTTGTCAGATAGTTCCTATAATTTGATTAATATCACACACCTCCTATTTATAAGTTGATCCCATGCTTGCCAGTTTGTTAGAGAAAATAATCTAAAGGTGCCATCAGAACAAGTCCTAAGGAGCTCCTTGAGATGGTTTTTTTGAGATGATGAGTATACATCAAACTTTTAACCAGTGCTTTTTGTCATTTTTTGCTGCAATTAATACAGAAGATAGCAGAGGAAAAGAAAGGACCCCAAAAAGAACCTTGTGCAGTGGCTTTAGGAAGCCTTTTGAATTCCTTGATTTGTATGCTTATTTGCCACTTGTCTTTCGAATTATATGTACAACCCCTTTTTTCAGCCATGTTGTTAGATATGGTTCTTCTCTCTTTACTTTTCTTTTATGCTCACCAAATTAACTTTACTTTCATGTACAAATTGATTGAAAACTGTAGGGTGTTCAATTCCACCCGGAGAGCATCATAACCTCTGAAGGAAAAACAATTGTTCGCAATTTCATCAAACTGATAGAGAGAAAGGAGGCTACTGAATCCCAGAATTAGAGGTCTTGTTCTGCAAAGAAATACTTCGGTAGTAATCATGCAAGTGTTCTTATAGAATTTGAAACTAGGTGGCCTCATATTTATGTTTCGAAAACTTTTCTAAATTTATCTGCCTCTTCTTGGTGGAAAGCATCTTTTGGATATTTATGCTTTTGGACTATCATTTATGTTTCTTTTCAATTTCTTGTTCCAAAAAAAAAAAAAATCTTGGACATCAGCCACCATGGCATCGTTTTAATGATAACATATAATTACATATGGAGTCATTGATATGTTATTTCTTACAGACATGTAGTTTACATGGATTAGTGAGAGGAAGGGTTTATATTTTGTTCATATGATACTTTTTGGACTTTAAACCAAATTTACCCTTCACCTTCGCTGAAAGATTTTGGGGTTTATAGCAGGAATTATATTGCAGCTCAGTTGGATCATGTAACTACCTTTAAGAACTGACATCTAGTAGGCTCGGGTTTAAGTCTTAATACCTGCAACCTCTATCCTTATCTCTAGGCTGTACTGCTGTTATAAAAAAATCATTTTCTTTCACTTTTTCCTTTGTTAGCAAATGCAGAAAAAGGTAGCAGTCAAGCAAGAGTGAAGTTTACCATCTGGATCCATCAGAGATGTTATCTGCTTTAAAAGATTGTGAGATGTAGCTTTCCGTATATGATTTATGTGAGTGCTTATGGATAACTATGAATTATGTGGTCTAAATTCTAGCAAAAGAAAAAAAAAAAAAAAAAAGCTTCCTTTCATCCTATTTTTCTGATTGAGTTTGCCATTCCAGTGCAAAATTGTCTGTCAAATGATTATCTGAAATTGAAGAGCAAGTTGGTTCAAAATTTTCTGGACCCTGCTTTTCTTTGTGACCATCAAGATTATCTGAAAGGTAGTGATAATCTTCAATGTCTACCCCTATCCTTCACATTATGATTTTGTGTAATAAAAAAAAATGAGCGATTGCAGACTGATTTTTAGATCAGTTAGCATGTCATCAGAAATGACATTTAGAGCTAATGAGTTTAAAAGAATTTATGCATGGAATGTACTTTTCATCTATGCAAGTATAATAAAAAATTAAATGTTTACCGGCTAATTTTTGAATCAGCTAAGATGATATTGAAGTTGACGTTTGAAAGTTACGAATTAAAAAAAATTTATATACGTACTATGCTTTTCAACTACACGAACACAAGTATAGGAGTAGGGAGATTGAACTACAAAAATGAAGGATTGGAGACTAAGTTCAGGAGGGAAGGAGGAAAAAGGTCTAAGATTTTCTAGTGAAAGTCTTTTCTTTTTTCTTTTATGAATGAATATCCAAAGCATCCTTTCATTAAAATGAAGAGCTAAAAGATAAAATCAGAACTTCGTAAATAGCATTCAATTATATGGTTCTAAGTGATTAGTGCATTATCCTTCTATTCAAAAAATAAATTTTTTAATTTTTTTCTAAAATGAAAAAATCTAAATATCAAAACTTTTTTATATAACTTTTTTTTTGTATTTACATGTGACACATGCAACGATAAATACTAATACTTAATAAGCAGATAAAAATTTTATAAATAAGTCTAAAATTAATTAATGATAATAATTTTGAATTAAAAATTAAAAAAAGTAAAGAACAAATATAATACTTATATTTAAATGAAAAAAAAAAATGGTTGAAGATGATGGTCAAGATTCTGACCTTAGTCACATATGAAGAGTTGAAGACCCACCATGTTATATAACCTTTGCCATATGTTTTGTCAAATGCCAACCGAACATGTTGATGCTGTAAGATCAAATCCTTATTTGTCTCGAATTTTTTAGACACCCCTGACAAACAGCTCAATTTATCTGTAACATACAATCCTCAGGTTTTTTATTTCTTACTTAATCGTGAGGTTTTCATTTAATCCCTTAGTAGATTGAAATTCGAAAAAAAAAAAAAAGAAAAAGAAACAAGCTTTTTTATTATTTGAGCTAACATTTGAAAAAGACAAAAAAAAAAAAAAAAAGGATGATTGTGTTATTAGAAAATCAACCAAACTTACTTTCTGGTGTAAAAGTGCTTTTGAGAAAAAAAAAATGGAGAATTTCTTATCATCAATTTTGTGTTACTTTGATTATCAAACCTTTTTCTTTTTTACCTTAGCAACTTTTAATTCTCCAACAAAGTAGCCAATCTCAAACAAACATAACAGCTAATGTGTGCCCAAATCTTGTCCTAAAATTGAGTGTTCCAATGTTTGGATTAGACAAAAGATTCCTCAGAATCCATGATATTTTGTCTTGCCTTAGCCAATCTTTTCATCTTATAACCACATATATACTAAGTTATGGGTAGGTGAGATAAACTAGTAGAATTTACCACACAGGGCAAAATAAATTTTTGCAATTTTTTGATAAAGCAAAAAAAAAAAAAGAAAAGATGATGATAATATACAGAGAGAGAGAGATTGTAAAAGGAAAAGATGGTAAAATAATTTTATCAATAAATATTTTGGTCAAAATTGGCACAATTCATTTTATTAACCACTAGAAATATGTACACCCACTAAGAGGAATAAAATTAAATTATATGAAAAAAAAAATTTAGAAGAGAAAAACAAGTATGGGTAGTCTTTTTTAAGGATCAAGTGAGTATTTTTTTAGGTAAAAATAGATAATTTAAAAAAAATTATATAAAAACTTGAAAGACATGAATATCCCTTAATTCATGTTGTTTTTTATTTTTAAATAATTTTATTATTTGAGTTTGTGTCACTTAATTGATGAGATCATATTCAATCAATACTATTATATATAATATAGAAGTATTTATGTTTTTTTTTTAAAGAAAATTTATTAATTTATATGTACTAAAAAAGAATTTGATAAGATTATTGTTAAAAATAAAAATCTTCTTCAATGCTTTAATCTTTTTGAAAGGCATTTATTGGCATTAAAAATAGTCTTCAATACGTTATAATCTTTTTAAAATTTTTGAAAATGTGGTAATCCAAGTTTTGGAGAAGATGAAAATGGCCAGTCAAATCATGATTCATGGACTGCAAATAGCCCCCCTTCACTTTTTCATTTCTTTTGCTATTACCCCATTAATGAAGAGCAATCTTCATTAATATCTTCCCAACCACCCTGATTGCTGGCCTGTGGGATTGGGAACCCCCACCCCCCCACCCCCTCCCATGCCCCGACTGCCTCCTTCCTCTTCAAATTCAAAGTTGAAACTCAACTTTGAAACTGTGAAGATGATCCATTGATTCCAGCCCCAGAATCACATTTTCACCTTAAAAATTAAGGGTCCTGCCATTTGAAAGACTTTAAGCTCCCCCACCTGTCACGTCTAACCTCCCTTGGATTCCAACAACCCATTGACAAAATGTCCACTGAACATGACTAGTCTGACTTTAGTATATAAACATATATTATATATATGGATATGTATGCATATTATTCTGACAGACATACAGATAACCCCAAACTTTACCCATAAAATACAACAATTTCGGGTGTTAGGATGTTTTGATGAGATATATATATATATATTTATTTAAAAATGAAGAAAACAAAGAAATTCTATATGGCTAAACAATAGGATAAACTCCATACATGCTAATGTCTTTATTGAACCCATGAGGGTGTGTAGGAAAGTACAGAAAATCATCACCAAATTCAATCTGTAAAACCCAGAGAGACATCAATGATAAAAATGACTTGGAAAACCTAAAAAGGTATGAACTATACACATACCCACATCATGGAACATATAAGAACTCTATCGCCCTTAATAAATATCTGTGCTCTCCCCCACCTCTATACACAAACCTGACCCCCAACTAAATCAAACTGAATGGAAAGGAAATACAATGCCCAACATGTAACAAAATGATTCTAGCAATGTCTCTTTTATTAGATGGAATCAGCTTCGGACCGGATAGCTCGGCTGCGGTGGTGTCGTTTCCCGTGGTGGCGCCTGCCTCCTCCGAATGTGACTGGATCAAACTTTTTTAGCCTTTCGGCTTCTTGGGGATTGATCACACACTCAGGAGGAGGAACTTTGTATCTGGTTTGGTCATAGCAATAGGAGTATGTCATGTGCTTCCTCCTAAAGCTATCCATCTTGATTCTTTGTGATGGAGTGATGTTGGTAGAGAGTTCTTCCAAGCTTTGGGTGGTGTCACACCTCTTTGATGAAAATTCAATGGGATCAACCGCGCAGCCATGAAGGATCAGGTCAGAGAATTTGGCTACATAAGGAGCATATTTGTAATTGACTCTATATTTGCCACCATTAGTAGCCCAACCAGACCCATCCCATATTGTAGCATACAAAGACATTGGCTTAGAGGGGAAATCTCCACCCATAGCTGCATTTCTCTTAAACTCTCTAATGGGGATATTGTCTACATAAAATCTGCAAAGAAAAACACAACCATCATTAACATGAACAGAATCACCAGCACATCACCAGCACAACAGCACCACGTTATAATCATCGCCATAGATGTTGATATTAATTCATAGATTATTGATTAATAGAATCCTGAACTATAATTCTAGCCTAATCTCCTATAGTTTCATCCTTTCAAGCAGACCGCGACAGAACAATTTAGTTATGCTATTAGAAGAATGACTGAATGGATGAAACAAGGGTACCATTATAAGCAAATACAGAGCATATTTTGTACAATATACAAACCTCCCAGAATAAGAAACCCCATCCGACATTCCAATAAAACTATCACATCAGACTCTTCAAAACAGCAAGTTCCACACTTAATCATACAAAATTCATCAGTTAAATATGTTATGGTTAAAGCAGAGAAGAAAACTAAAGGATTGAACGAAAAAAAGGAAACTGAGACGACAATGAATTATAGGAGAGATGGGGGGATAGATTGTGTGGCTTACAAAATCTGAGAATCAGTCCAGAGAACACTGTACTGATGGAAATCATCAGCAGGATCGAACCAAAGATTGTATCTCTCTTCTCTGCCAACACTGGTGCTTCCATTGCCATAAACATTGGTCTGAATCCTCCAATCTTTGCCTCTAATGTTACCCAAGAACTCAAAATCTATTTCATCATGGTTCTTCTGGAATATATCACCGTTTGACATCTGTTTTCACAAAAGAAAATCCATAATAATCGGGGGATTCTCTTCATTTATTTTCGGAAGTTATGCCCGTTTAAATGAAAATCTTTGCAACCAAATATATATGCGAGAAAAATGAGTTTGAAATTAAAATTAAAGCCAAAACTATCAGGTAATTATTTTAATCAGCCCCCCTTTTTTTTTTCTTATAAAGCTTTTTATGGCAAAAATAATGAGAAAACTTAAACAGTTCATAGTCATATCCATCTAGATTTTGATCAGATTATTGAACAAAAACCTGAGATTTTGTGACTTGAAACAAAAATCAAAATCAAAATACGGTCGTCAAGACACTAAAAAACTCCAAGTTGGAGAAAAGTTAAGAAAGCAGAGGCAGACTCATCTGAGTATAAATAGTTTTATCAAAATTTTAAGCTTAAAGCAATGCAATAAAAAAAAAATCTTGAACAGATAAACTCACATAGAATGCAACCACAACTCCAGCAGTGTAATCAGAAGGTAACTTTATTGAAGCACTGAAGTAACCATGCAAGTAAAGGTCTTGTGACACAAATCCAGACCCTGTTTTACACCATCACCAAAGCCAAAAAAAATTTTCCTTTACTAAAATAACAAAGAAAAGAATAACCCAAAAAGCAGCAAAAAGAAACAAACCTGTTCTCTCATTCAAAGACAATTGAACAGCTTTACCATCTCTATGAATAACTAGATTATCATCTCCAAACAACTGAGTATACCCTTCATCAAATGACAGAATTGGAACCCTTTTTTCAGACCCATAAACAACAACAGAAGCCAAAGTCAAAACCAAGAACAAAGAAGAACCCAGATAAGGTAACTGCATAACCATTTTTTCCCTTTTATCTTTTTTTTTTCTTGGTATACGGTTGAATTTTTTTTTTGCTCTTTCAAAATAAGATTAGATTATGTAAAAAAGAGAAGACGAGATTGTTAAGAAAGAAAGAGAAGAAGAAGACGAAGAAAGAAAAGAAATTATCTCTACAGCTATGCTGGCAGGCGATGGAGAGAGCCTAATAGCCTATTGAAAAAAAAAGACAAGAGCAGGTCATTTTATTGGAGAGTGAGAGGGTGTCGAGATGTTCATACGTACGCAAATTTTTTATTCTCTCATTTTCTTTTAATTCTTACATTATATTTTTTTCATCATCATCATGTTTCTTTCCTAATTCCACCATTTTCCATCATATTCTATACTTATTTTATTTTTTAATATTCATTTTTTAAATTTAAATTTTTTTGGTTTGGTGAAAGGAGGTTTGAGGAACTCAAGACACAGAACAGTCATTTGGCTTGAGAAAAAAAAAAACATTTCTTTGTTCTTAATTATTTTTTATTAAATTATAATTAATGTAAATAAAAAATTTGAAATTCTAACTTTAATAATAATTTAAAGGAAAAATAATTAGGTTTGTGTGCTTTAAAGTTGTTTTGGTATTTCTCTTTCTTATTCTATTTGTCATTGTCCACTCAATATCTCTTTCTTAGACCCACTTATCACAATCCTTTACAAAGACTAATTTTATTTTTAATGGTGTATAAAAAATTTCCACTCGCATGCTTTGAAAATGAAGGATGAAATAGTGATTGATTCCAATTTTTATTTGAATCAATTAGCCAAAGAAAAAAAATTTCTTTGAATTGTTTGAAACAAATAAAAAAGATAAAGTTTCTATGATTGTGCTTAAATCTATTGATATATTTAATTGTAATTGCTAAAATTGTGAGTTGCTTTAGATAAGGAATAAATGCATAATATTTATCTCATAAAAACATAATATTTATTATTTCCATAAATTTTGTTTATACATTTGCACAATATTTACACCAAAATAAAATCAAAACATTCTTTTCAAATGTTTTTTATTTAATAGGTTTCTTGTTTGGATTTTTTTTTTTTGAAACTCCAATTTTCAAAAAGATGAGTTCATTAAAAATATATATAAGGTTCTTGTCATGTGAAGGATTTAAATTAAAATTTTCATAGCATAAATTCCTTAATTGTGAGTTTCAAATTTTTAATTAATCCTCATGAAAAATTTTCTTCATATATATTGAAATTAGTGTTCAATTTTATCCCAAATATTTTATATGAAGATTACTTTATCCTTAATACTTTATTAAATAAAAAATGCATGGAATTAATGTGAATATTGCATGCCTAAAGAGAAATTAAAACTATATAGGTCTTAAATTAAAAAAAAAAAAAAAAAACTAGATAGGCCTTCATGTGAAAAGAAAACATGCTAACATAAAATTACTACAAAATCATATACAAATCCATTCCAATTTTAAACAAAATTATGACTAGTATATTTCATGTTCATTATTGTACTTATATACTTGCAATGTTATTAAAAAGAATAATGAAAGAACTTTGAATCTTCAACATATTTTCAATGCTCATTATGAGTTCCATTTATTCATATAAATTCAAGAAATCAAAGGGTAGTTGCTAATGGTTACTATTTACTAACAGAGTACAATTTCATTATTGCAAAACTACATTTTTTCAACTCATGAGTTGAAAGACATGTATTTCATTATGAGAAATTATCACACTTGTTGACATTATTAGATTTGACAAGTAAATGAAAAGGTCATACATATGTAATAACTTTTTAATTTCGTCTATGAAATAAAATAATTTTATTATTAATATATAAAAAATAAAACTTTTATCAATGTAGGTAATTTGAGTGATAAAGAACTTAATTTTTTAAAAATAAAATTTTGATTTTGAGTATTATAAATAGAGAAAATAAATTTGAGAAAATTTATTTTTTTATAAAATTTGATCTGATTCAATTTTAGATTAATCAAAGCTTAAAATAATTATCGAACATCGAAAAATTATAGATAAAAAAAATTAATTTTTTTATTTTTATGAGCACGTCTTAAAATACTTCATAGTTTATATTTTATATTATTAACTTAATTATTATAAAAGTGTTTTGATTAAAGATGTGGAATCTGATTCAAAATATTTTTTATTTTTACTTTTTTAAAGTATTAGAAAAAATCAACTTCTTAATTACAATTATGTCACTTTATCCCTCCTCCAAGGCTTCCAAATTAAAAGTCACCCAACAAGCTTGACAATTAAACTTTGAAAGTTTGAAGCTTTAAAGAGGGATAAAGTGCCAAATTTTATAAAATGAAAAAGCAAAGAACAAAAAAAAATGGACAAAGACAAAAGTGGGCAATACCAAAGAAACTTTGTAAATTATTAGGGGTAAAAAAATGATTATCAAGACTTTTTGGGCCAAAAAGAGATTCTACTTTTACTATTTAAGTTAAACTAAGAAAAATAAATCTATCGACAAAAATATAACGGGGCACCTGGCGCTTCCTTGCGTGAGAAACCCCATTCACCGCTACGTTACACATGATTACGAAAGTACCCTTGAACGGCCCATATATTTACTGATTTGCCCCACAACGACTTCCAATGGCGTATTTGCAATCTGAGAGGATAAGAGGAGGGCAATTATGGAACAACAAAACAAGTGATAGGGCCACTGCGCCTAATCTCATAATTCGGCGTGCCAGGCGGCGAAACTTGAACGGCTTAAAATCAGCGAAGAGACACGTAATTCCAATCAAATCAACGGTCAATTTTTTTTTTATGTTTTTTTCAACTTTTTGGCAATAAGAAAACATGAGAGCATTACAGCTGGCACTGGACCGTTTCTTAACAAACGCCCCCACGAGGACACGACTCCAAAATCAAGAGCTAAGCTAATTTTGAAGGCCAATTAAACTTGGACCACCAATAATTAAACCAAAATCGGGGAAAACAATAAAGCTTTCAATTTGCTTGGAAATGAAAATTTTAGGGTTGTTGAATTTATGAAATTCTATAGAAGTAGGATGTTAGGTTTTTTTTTTTTTTAACTTTTTAATGCTTTAAATTAAAATATTTATAATTTAATATTGAGTTCGATTAATTGGCATTTATAAGCATATTTAAAATTAATCTGTGTTAAAATATTAAATTTTTTGTATCAATAATAAAAATTTTAATTTTAATAATCTTAAATAAAATATTATTTAAAAAATTACTTTTAATATTTCACTTTCATCAAATCCAATAAAAATAATAAATTTATTCTATATATTTTTTTTGGGCAGCAAATTCTATTTGGGTTTTTGGGGTTCATTATAAAAGAGAAGGCAAATTGAAATTATATACTTTTAGTCCATTAAAAATAGCATGTTTCAGACAAAAATTATATTACATTTATAGGTAATTTATCAAAATAAATTATTGATGGTGAAATTCAAATAAATATTATAATCTCTTTTTATATTATAAACTTAAAAATATGTATCACATATAATAATTATATTATAATTAAAATTTAAAATTATATAAAATAAAAAAATTTTATAAGAATGTCATATTTATATATAATTTTTTTATTATTATAAAGCAATTTTAAGATTGTAAAAAAATTTAGAAGCAAGCACCTGGCCGGATGTCCTCGTACTCCACTGTTACAGGATTTTTTGAGCTGACGTGACATCCTGGCCCTTTCCACGTCAGCACAACTAGCCGTTGCCGTATCCAAATGTCTACCATTTTTTCGGTTGGAAATATCTTAATTTTGCTAGAGATTATTAAAAAAACAAAAAAACTTTTCGATTCTAAATTTGACTGCTAAAAATAAAAGAATTAGACCGCAATTAATGGGCGTGCATTTAAACCCGACGTTAACGCCGTTAATCATGGGGTCAATTGACAATGCATCAATAGTCATTTAGTCCCGTGAAAGCCTATTCGCCGGAACTCAAGCCCCTCGTTTAACGTCACTCCAGAACGGCGTCAACTAGCTTTGGTCCCCACTTTTTCACGCCCGTGAATTATTTATTTATAACCATTATTGTGAAGTTGGTAAATTCTGTTCTTTTAAATAAAAAGATAATTTTGGTAAAAAAGTTTTTTTATCGGGAATCGCGTACCTGGAAAGGATTCAACGGCATTTTGCCTAAAAATTTTGTGGGCGCATGTTAGATGTTGGAAGTATTGTTTTGCTAATGTAAACCATTGGTGAATATGCATGGGGAACAATGGGATCACATGTTAGTTTCCATGCCTACGGTGGATACTATTCACGTGAGCTTAAAGTTTTTCATTTTCCAAAATGAAGATATCAAGAATTAGAATCCTTTAGCCAATCACAGCCGTTGATCTTGTCGATTTGGGGGAATGTGAATCATATTTTTGTTGCTTTTTGCTAAGATTTCAATCCAACAACTGAGTTATCATCTCCAAATATGAAGTGGGATTGGGTGGGAAGCAGTAAATTAACACGGGTGGGCAAAAGTTAGAGAAGTTCTCTAGTTTTTGCGTGTTGAAAATACGAAGGCTTGACTTGTCAGAGCTTTAATCTAGTACTTCAGAATGTACACAAGTACTAGCAGAATCACCTGTAGAGGTTTAATTTTTGCCCAAATTTAAGGCAACATTAATAATTTTGACTCATGCCTGACCAACTTTGACAGTCATTCAATTTTTGTTCTTTTTCGACCAGTTTCATTGCCTGTCATTCCTACCATTTATTTTTAAATAAATATTTTAATCTTTATATTAATTAAATTGATTAAGAATATACACAATTAATTATAAAAAATTATTTATAAAATATTATTATTTTAAATCAAAATTAAGAAATACAAAAAAAAAATTGTACCATCAACGATAAATGATAAATTTAATGGATCACTTATGTGATAAAAAAAAATTGAAAGAATGAAAAACCTGAGAGAAGAAAAAAAGGTAGGGCTAAATTGTGTGAGACGGCAATAATTTTGCTTTTTTATATAAAAAATAAATTAATTTAAATTTATTAAAAAAATAAAAAGAGAGAATTTTGAAGAAGATTGAACTCGCGAAGAAGGATGCCCACATGACCGATTCAACGATATCAGTTTGTCGAAATTGCACGTGGAGAATCAAGAGAGGGCCAGTAATAAAGGACAACTGTCGTGGGCATTTTAGTCATAAAAGATTTTAAAGTTATTGCCTGGTGGGACAAGACGTTCAGTTCCTTGCCTCCGCAATTGTCCAAAGAAAAAAACAAATTAGAAAAATAAATAAATAAATAAGGAAAACGCTCTGATTTAGC